CAATCTGCTCTCGATCTCTCACTTACGGATTCAAATATTTTAAATGAGTTTGAATGGTTGGTGCATGATTACCTTTGTGGAAGTGACCACTTCCCAACTCCTATCAATCCCGCAGATGAACCACCATCAACAAGATGGAATTTTACTGAGGCCAACTCGCCATTATTCCGAACTTAAAACTCTGAGAAACTTAAACCTGACGATTTCAGGAATGTTCCTTATACCATAAAGCTATATTTTCAAACCTCTTAAATACAATTGGAGACAAAACCATTCCTCAGTCCTCTGGAAACCATTACATACACAAACCATGGTTTGATACAAACTGTAAACAAACTGTAAAAAATTGGAAGAAGGCGGAAAAATACTTCCGAAAACATCCTACCGTGCATAATCTGAATGCAGTTAAAATGACAAATGCCAGGGCAAGACGTACCTTTAAACAAACTAAACGCTGGTCATAGAGGAAATATGTATCCAAACTCAATTCCTGCACACCCATGTCCAAGGTGTGGAACATGATTCAAAAGATTGAGGGCAAAGGATCAGGATCTGGTATTCGCCATCTCAAAGATGGTGACTCTCTTTTAACAAATAAATCTGACATTGCAAACAGACTGGGCAAAACTTTGGCAAACCACTCATCATCAAATTACAACCCTCAGTTCCAGAGGTACCAAACCCAACAAGAAAAGAAACCGGTCAGTATTAACTCTGACAATGGGGGGGATCACAATGAAGCTTTCTGTACTTTTTTCACTTACGTTTTGAACAGCGTCTGTTTTTGTGGATGATTTCAATATTCCAATCCGAAAGACAGCTACCTCTCAGTCTTAATAAAATACAAAAATGGGCCAATAAAAATGGCTTTAAGTATTCGAAATCCAAAACAAATTGTATTCACTTTTGTCGTAAATACAAAACACACAAAGATCCAGACCTATCTTTAGATGGTACTCCCATCAAGGTAGTAGAAGAGGCCAAATTCCTGGGACTCATATTCGACCACTATCTTACACTCTTACCACACATAAAATACTTGAAAACAAAGTGCCTGAAGGCTATTGACTTGCTGAAAGTCGTTTTAGATCGGGAGGGAATCAAACTACCTTCCTTCACTTGTACAGATCATTAATTCACTCTAAACTTGATTATGGTGGATAATGACATCAGAGATAAAAAGCAGAACAGAGCCGTTCTCTGGGTCCATGTATTTTATTAATACTGAAGATGGTAGACCGAAACATAAAACAAAAACATTCAATATACAGGGTAACATCATGGATGGTTGATCTAAGGACCCCTGGAAGTTGTGTAGAGTCACTCAGTGATGCTGTTGAGGTTTCCACTTCTAATGACTCTAGTCTGGCTGTCTCTGGAGAATGCTATGACTTGCGGCTGAGAGAATCTGCATTCTTGATTGAGACCTATGCCTTTGTAAGGTTGAATTGAGCCAGTTCACCTACCCATCTCATCTCAGTTGCTCCAAGTTTTGCTGTTGTCTGGATGTAGCTGAGTGGGTCATTGTCTGTGAACACGAAGCACTCTGTTCCAAGCAATAGATCTCTGTACTTCTCCGTCACAGCCCATTTGAGTGCAAGCAGTTCCAACTTCATGCTGCTGTAGTTCTCCATGTTCTTCTCATTCGGACGAAGGGAACGACTAGCATAGCTCAGGACTACTTTACCCTGTTCTTGCTCTTGTGACAGTACAGCTCCGAGTCCTGCATTGCTGGCATCTACCTCCAGAATGTACGGTTTGGTGAAATCTGGAAAACCTAGAATCGGCGCAGAGGTTAGCTTTGTCTTCAACTCCTCAAAGGCTTTGTCGCATGACTCGTCCCATGAAGACATTCCAAGTCTTTGAGGCCTACCCTTCCTCTTTCCCTTCTTGCTAGTGTTCGTGCCTTGAAACAGAGCATGTAAAGGATCAGCAATCTTGGCGAAGTCTTGTACAAACCGCCTGTAGTACCCTGCTAGTCCAAATAATCCTCATAACTGGGTTTCTGTCCTTGGCGTCTCCCAGTCTAGTACTGCTTTCACCGTGTCCCTATCTGGTAGTACACCCTCCTGAGAAATCTGGTGACCAAGGTACCGCAACTTCTGCTTGAAAAGTTGACACCTCTCAGGTCGAACTTTCAGGTTGTATGATGCTAGACTTGTGAGAACCATGTCCAGTCGCTGGATAACTACCTCTTCGGCGGATCCAAAAACTAAGATGTCGTCCATGAAAACTATCAGGGTTTGGAAGTTCTGGTCACCGAAGACTTTGTCCATCAATCTCATGAATATTCCAGGTGCTCCAGTCAGTCCAAAAGGCATCCTTGTATATTCATACAGTTCTCCGTGCCTACCCGGAATGACATCTTCTCAATGTCCTTCTCTGCCACGGGGGTCTGATGAAATCCATGTGCCAACTATCCATTGCTCTTCCTTACCAAGACGGCCGGTGATATGTAGGGACTTGATGACTCACGAATAATCCCAGAATCCAAACTTTTGGCAATGTACTGTCTAACTTCCTCCCATAGTTGTGGTGGAATTCTTTCGGTGAGGGTCTCGCACTGGAATCTCATTAGTTGTTACAATCCTGTGTTCCACTGCATCGCTGAAGACAGATTGGTGCTTTATGATCATGTGGGTCAGATTCCTTTTAGCCTCTTGACTGATGTTGGTCCCAAAATCCATCTTCCCCATGTGATCCACTCCAAGCTGCCTCTTCACTAAGTCTTGCGATACGTGCTGGATTTCAACTTCTTGAGAATTTAGTTCCACAATCTGGTATCTTGGTTCAAGGAGAGCTTTCTTGAGCTGGGCAACAGGAGTCCGTGGCTTGAGATATACATCACTGTCGCTGAAGTTTGCAACTTGTACTGGGACCGTTCCTGTCTGAGTTACCCTGACATACGAGGGTCCAAGAGTCAATCCGTTAGGAAGGTGTTCAGTGTCTCCATCTAGTTTCTGTATGAGAGCTTGGTAGGACTTTGTAGCCTTGCGAACACTTCCTTCGATGACTCTGATGGTCCTTGCTGGTATCAGTACTGGAGCAGGTGCTGCAACTCTGACTCGTCCCATATCTTCTCTTTGACGGTCGGCACCCCTTGTACAGGGCTAGGATCTGTCTCCAATCTACAGGGAAAGGTCTTGTCTTAGCATGCTCTTGGATGTCCCTAAAGATGTTCGAGCCTAACACTCCGGGTACTCTTTCCTTCCTTTCTCTAGTAGTCTCATCTTGTGAATCTTTCGCAATTAAAAATCCTAATCTTTTTAATTCCAGGCCGAAAAAATATTTACTGAGAGCTCGATATAGCCCAGGATGGGAATCTCCTCTCCATTTGCCGCCTTGCACGTCCAACCAGTCTCTTCCCTGGAAGTTCCGATTGAAGAAGGACTCTGTTATGTTTGACACTTGGGCTTCCGTGTCAACGAGGCATCTAACTTCTGTATCGTTCAAGGTAACAACTGTCTCTGGGCAGGTTCCCACCGCCCTATGTAAGACTGAGCCTATATCCAGCTCTCCTGTAGTGTGGCTCTCCACTATAGGTTCGAACAGTTTCCCTTCTCCCTGTAGGTCTTTCTCTGGGGACAGTTCCTCTTCAAGTGATCTGGAGAGCTACAGATCCAATATCTAATAGGTTTCTTGTCTTCCTTGATGCTGCCACTGGGTCTGATGGCATTCCCCTGGCTCAGAGCCTTCAGCAGCCTGTCGATCTGCTCCCACTGTTGGTTGATGAGTGACTGTTGTTGCCTGACCATTGACTCCTCTGACTTGACAGCGGCAGCTTCCTGGGCTTGAACTGGTTTGGGCTTGAGTGTCTGATCCATGTTCTTTCTCATGGAAGGATCCAGTTCAGAAATTCGGTTGAAACGTTCCACCATGTTGAGGGAGCAGGTGACAAGATCCTCTCGTCCTTGTCTCAAGGAATAAAATCTTTCCTGGAGGAGGGGTAGCTGGTCTCCATCCCCAACGATTCTTGTCAGGACCTTAAAGATCTCTTCTGGCTGGCCTTTCGAGAAGGTCTCCATGCCCTTGAATTTCTTGTCGGGCCCTCCCTGCCAGGTTGTTTATGATGACAGCAGCGGTATCTGAAGGATTCAGGCGCCTGGATTCAGCGTGGCTCCTGATGTCCGAAATCCACTCTGCCAGGGTGGGGTCACCCGCCCTCTCTGCTCTTTTCCTGAAACGGTCCAGCTTTCTCCCTGTGACTATCATGACTGGATTTTTCGACTCCTCTTGCTGGTTCCTAATCCAGACCTCCTGCTCCTTAATTCTCTTTCGGAGCCTTTCCAACTCAGAAGAGAGTTCCTCCACCTTGTCAACTCCCTCATTAACTTCCTGGTCTATCACCAGGCATCCTTAACTCAAGACCCTAAGATCTAACCTGAAGGAATCTTTAAGGGAAAGAAACAGGAAAATACCCAAACAACATTTAACAAAATTAAAGCATTATCTAAATCTTAAGCTTAATCTTCTACTGCTGATACCCGTCGGTCTTCATCTTTCTGGTCCCGGCAGCAGCGACATCCTGCAGTCCTGTGTCCTGTCAGGCTAGCAGTTGAGGGTCAATACGTCGAGGCTGATCCCACTTCTGATACCATGTAAAAAGCAGAACAGAACCGTTCTCTGGGTCCATGTATTTTATTAATACTGAAGACGGTAGACCCCCAACTATCTTGGCTACATCTGTCCACAACCGGACGGGGCTTCCTCGCCTAGTAGGATGCGATCGTACATAAGTTGGCTAAATAGAGCTGGACAAAAACAATGCGCTCTGTGGTTAAACAACGTGCAGCTTGGCTGGCTGGCTAAAACAAAGGGCCTGCCTTGGGCGCGAGATGAAGCTATTAGAGGAGCATGTCGGGTAACCTCAAAGTAATTAATTACGGCCTGTTATTATTCTTTTGTGAATGTGTGGAAAATAAAAGGGATCTTAAGCAATGACCTCCAGAACAGATATGAAAATATAGGAAAGGTGACATAAGAAATAACCTCTTAATCAGGAATGTTTACAGAGGTTTTCCGAGCCCTGGCGGAGTTTGCCGAAGATAATGTGAGTAAAGACGTGTGACTGATGGCACTTTACACATATTTGCCGCAAATCAGCTTTAAAACTAATTTGACATCCAGACAAGAGTTGTAAAACAACCCGTAATTAAGCTGAGGTACTTATCCTGTCACGGTCACATGACTACCAGTCCAAGAAAACCACAATCAGCTTGTCCAGTCAGTTACTAAAAATATTAGTAAAAATACCTGACCAAAATCGTAATTGAAAGACCTAGTATATGTTTTGACCAATCGCAAAAGAATGCCAATATTGATCAGTGGTGTTTAGACTATAAGAAGAGGTCAGTGATTTCCTACCAAAAATTGGCCCAGCCAGAAGCCGACGTTAAACACTCAAACCGTCGTCGTCGCCAATCAACATTCTGACCTCACAATAAATATTGAAACATCTCCTTGACTGATCATTGACTTACAGAATTCTCCAATCTATTTTAAGGATAAAAGATTGTTATCCCATAACAACCCGGGTAACAGTATCACTTTTCAACTGATGAAAAATGGCTACACTCAGATATAGTTTTAATAACTACTTTAATAAACAGTGATTTGATGTATTTTTCTGTTCCGTTTTGATAAATATTTCGACTCAGGTAGTAAGAAGAGTAGATAGTACGACCCTTGTGTTTATTATCAAAACTGAGTAATAAATACACTTATTTCGGGAAGAGGATCGTTCATATAAATTGATGTATATAACGGATGATAAGAATCCTGATGACCAGTAACAATCCTGAGTTCTGATTTGTCCACCAGCGGTAATCATATGCACATGTGAACCCAGCCTGGTATGTTGCTGGAGTATGCTGCGTACCCCGGGAACCAGGCTGCATTAGGCTGTGCTTTACACGGAGTAGTTTGCTTAGAATCGATAGTTTTCTTATATACCGAAATTATATATTAAATTATTATTAACCCGATCGAGGGTGAAGTCCAAATTAGGCTAATACTGATTTTGCACAAACAAACGTGAAATAGCAATCTATTCCACTCTCACCAAAGATCTCGCGTAATCCCCCATAATCATGCATCATGAATTTAGATAAACCAGAGACCATACACCTATATATGTACTAGTATATGGTCTCTGGATAAACCCACTGCCTTATACTGTCAATTTTGAGGTTTCAAATTCCTATTCGAACCATAGGCCAACAGGTATCTGTGGAATTACGCATCCTGTTATTCTACTCACTAGTTGTTCACAGGATTCATAACGGATAAAAGCTTATAGATTGACGAATGTTGCAATGAAGTCAAAAACACACACAGGCTATCACATTACTTGAGGCCACAGATACTGCTGGTTATTATTTTTTATACCCGAGTCGACTTGAAAGCTGAACGAGTCACAGGTAAATCGTGTTCTCATGTGCCTACATTAGGATCGATAATCCTGTACACATTCGTGAACACATTTATTCAAACTTTGAATTTTAAATGAAATGGAATAATATTCACATAATAAAATGGCCCACATATTCATGCGTTATTTCTTTCTGCGGGACTGAGAAAATGTCTGCCCCCAACGAGGAAACACATGAGAGGCCTAGGGTCGGGGTAGGCGTGTTTGTGACAAGTCAGAACCACCCTGGATGCGTTTTGCTCGGCATCAGACAAGGCTCCACGGGGGTGGGAACGTATGCGACACCAGGTGGACACTTGGAATTCGGGTGAGTGTGTAGGTGGTATAGCTATAGCTCTGTTATTATGTGTGACGGCTAAGGCTTTCACCATGTCCCAGGTGCGGTCGGGGTTTGCGGAGCTGGGTTGTGGCACCAGTCTACTGCAGTCAGCGCGGGATTTCAAGCTCTACACAGGGTAGCCCATTTGCGGAGCTCCACTCCATATAGATTACGCTGCCTCTGCGTTTGCGGGGAGTGTAGCCAGATCGTCTGATTTCTTAATACCCACATTGTCTAATTACTGGTCAGCTCAGATTGCCTAATCTGTGTCATCGCTGACCAATGACGCTCTCCTGGAGTATAGGTCCGCCCTGGGTGTTTAAAACCAACACTGCTTCTATGTGCCAGCTTGAGTGTAAGAGTAAGAGCATGGCAAGAGTGTAGTAACCTGATGTTACATGAACCTGATGAAGGAGTGATAAGGAAACGAGTGTTTTATGGATGTCAACCTGATGTTACCGTGAATGAACCTGATGAAGGAAACTCTAGTAAATATATACTCCGCAAACGTTGTGTTCACCTCATAATTTAAAGAAGTCGACATCCATAAAAAAATCTCCTTTCAATTCCTGCAGAATATAAGTATATACAGATAGATAGATGAAATATCAGCAGAACATATCCCAAACAGTTGTCGATAACAGAAAAGTGTCGAAACAAAGTACATTTTCCTATTTTACTGACTTGAGGAAAGCGTTTGACAATGTCAACCGTGAGTGTTTATGGTATAAACTTTACAAGGCTGGAGTAACAGGGAGGATGTATACAATGATTATGGCTCTGTATGAAGATGTTCAGTGAGAGTGAACAATGACATAACTCCATTATTCAAGATTAATAATGGTGTTAAACGGCCCTGCTCCCAGTCTCCAACCCTGTTTTCATTGTACGTAAGTGAGTGACATGGCGGAAGATACCCCTTATTATTATTCCGGATGCTCACTGCATTACTTGCTCCCTGTGAAAGTTCCCTACAATAGATGCCGGATAAAGTACATGACTGGTGCCAAAAATGGAGATAGCAGATAAATACGGAAAAAACTAAACCTCTTCATTTCAGAAATAGGAATGTTTATATTACCAGTTCCAAGTTTTTATGTGGACCTCTGGACATTCATGTAACAGTTAAATACAGATATTTGGGACTTTGGTTAAATGAATATTTGGACATGGCATTTACTGTTAAAGAACTTTCCACGTCAGCTAGCAGGGCCCTGTCATAATATTCAGTCTATTAAAGTGTATGGAGGCTGGTGAAATGGCCCATAGTACATGTGAGGTGAGGTGAAATTGGGTTTTACGTCGTGTTCGAGAATATTTCGCTCATATGACGACCTGCATGCGTGTGTATGTGTATGTGCGGCTGCTTGTACTCACCCCAGACTTGCTGGTTTTATAGTGCTAGCCCACTGAGATACCATGCCGCAGTGAAGCATGAATACCCCACTCAGAGACATTATACTGACTCCGAGCCGACCAGTCCTTGTTGTACCCATTAATGCCGAGCGCCAGGCAGGGACCAACACGTACCATATTTAAACGTCTTTGGTATGACGTGGTCGGGGATCGAACCCGCGACCTTCTGCTCTCCGGCGGACGCTCTAACCACTACACCACGGAGGCGGTCCATAGTATATGTACATTTACAAGACTGTAAAATGTATTAGGCAATGTGGAGCTGACCAGTAATTAGACAACTTGTATGAAGCTGTTGTTACCTGTTCTTCTATACGGAGCAGCCATCAGGGGACTGACAGAGCTTGGCTGCATTAACTCAGCACAAAACCGATCCTGCCGTTTCTTTCTTGGTGTACCTAAATCTACATCTGGATGTGCCCTAAGAGGCGAAATGGGATGGAAGAGTTGCCTTAATAAGCAAAGAAATTGAAGTACTTCAGATTTCTTCAAGACATACTCAACTGAATAGGAATGTGCTAAATTGTGTTCTTTCCTGGTCTCAGGGGCGGTGGGGTAGCCTAATGGTTAATGCGTTGGCTCGTCACGCCGAAGACCCGGGTTCGAATCCCCACATGGGTACAATGTGTGAAGCCCATTTCTGGTGTCCCCGCCGTGATGTTGCTGGAATATTGCTGGAAGCGGCGTATAACCAAACTCAGTCAGTCAGTCAGTCAGTCTTTCCTGGTCTCGTGCTGGAAGGAAGTCTTGGGTGTCACGAGTTATCTCCCCTTGTTCACAAACTCGCATTCACCCTGGACTTGATCAGCGGGGATAGTGTGACATATTCCAACAAAATAACTGAACAGCAATTAGTAAGGATTGATGATGAATTGTTGTTTAAAGATCTGTGGAGCAATACAAATCTTACAAAAAGGAAATAAACTGAAGGACACATCGCACATTTAAGGAAGATAGATCACCAGAGATATATCTTTGATGCTCAATGTCGAGATAGAAAAGAAAAGTGTTAGCTAAATTCTGATGCGGCACTCTACCTTCTCACCATAGAAACCGGATGCTATATAGCAGAGCTGTAACCCCACTGGATGAGCGCCTCTGTCGGTTCTTGTGATGTGATCGAGGACGACACACATTTTCTGATACACTGCCCCACTTACGACCATATTAGATATGAACTTTTGAAAGATAATTCCATGATGCCGTATTTTACAAACCTCACTTCACCAGAAGAACTTATCTTCTTAGTGCAAATGACGTAATCTTGTAAGTTAATCTGTAATCTACTATTTTAATTGTATGTTATTTTTCATTGTTTTTAAAAATATCTTTTGTACATATGTAATGTTAGTTATTTTTATGGTTTCGTATCATTTTATATAGAAATACATCTATTTGCATGACTGGATGAATGAACGATGCATGGTGAATTCTTCACATAGCGTATGCATGTGACTGTGAGTTTAGTCGAATTGGGAAATATACTGAACCGCAAAAGAAACGCAAGTTACTATTTTCAAAACACACGTTCCAAATGCATTCCTTTAGGACAACAAAGTATACCATTATAGAACTAAGCATCTGAAGATGGTTTTGCCTTTGTTGCCGCTGATTCTTGACCATATCGCCCAAACGCAATCATTTTCATGTTTTTTCGTGTTTTTGCATGAAGTTTTTGTGTTTCACACAAAAAATGCGTGCATTTCACTCCAGTTTGAAGCTTTATAAGGCAGGTCATTCAAAAAACACCATAGAATACAAAATTGACTGTGACAACGCGGAGAAAACATGCCACGTCTAACTGAACAGCAACGATGAATCGCCGTTGGAATGTTGCAGACCGGATCCACACCAACTAAAGTGGCCAGGCACTTCAGATGTCACGTGACAACAATCACAAGACTATCCGCAAGGTATCGTCAAACCGGTAATGTTCCAGACCGACCACGTTCAGGACGTCCCAGGGTAACAACGCCAGCGCAAGATCGTCACATCCGGGTTACTCATCTGCGTAACCGACAGCAACGAGCAACACAGACAGCTGCAACCATTCAAGGGCCACAACGTCACATCTCTGCAGACACTGTTCGTCGTCGTCTGAGGGCAGCAGGGATCAGATGTCGCCGTCCTTACGTCGGACCGATTCTGACGCAACGTCACCGCCAAAATCGTTTACAGTGGGCGCAACAACACCAGCGTTGGCGACGTCAACAATGGCAACAAGTGTTGTTTTCTGATGAGTCCAGATTCAACTTGTCCCACGCCGATGGCCGATTACGTGTATGGAGACGACGTAATGAACGTTACGCCAACTGTTGTGGAAGACTCATGGTATGGGGTGGCTTCAGCTACCACCACAGAACACGTTTACACGTGTTTCGTCAACGTGTGACTGCTGTAGTCTACAGAGACCAGGTCTTTCAACACCACGTTGTACCGCTCTTCCAGGCCCAACCTCAGCTCCAGACGTTCCAGCAGGACAATGCTCGTTCTCACACTGCACGGGTCTCTATGGACTTCCTCTGAGGGAACAACATTGCTGTACTGCCCTGGCCCTCTCTGTCCCCGGATATGGCACCAATCGAGCATGTGTGGGATGAAATTGGTAGACGGATACAGACAGCCGCTCAACCTCAAAACCTTAGAGATTTGGAAGCCATATTGGTCAGGGAATGGAATCAAATTCCCAAGAGACGGTACTTCAGACACTTGTTGACTCGATGAGACGTCGTTGTGCTGCCTGCATTGCAGCCAATGGTGGTCACACGCGCTACTGATTGACACACTGTTTCGTGACATTTTTGGTGTGTGAGGGGTGGAGTGATAACATATGCTTTACAGTAAACTTGAGTGTTGTTTTCACCCAGAGATCACGACTCATTTCTTCAACAATCACTTGTCTGTTGTTTTTCGTAGTGTTAAGATTGTTTGATCCACAGATTCAGAAATATTGACATTTCTAAATCAACTTGCGTTTCTTTGCGGTTCAGTATATGTCTGATTTACGTGAAAGGTGTGAGAGGGCCTAACAGTTAAGTATAATGCGAGGGTGAGTGGTGGGGTGTGTTATAGGGGGTTATGGTAGGTGGTACTTGAGGGTGAATGTACGCGGTGTGCTGATGAACTGGCCAACCTTAGGCGACATGCTGACGAAGTTCCTGAGGACCATCTGCTATTTTCCAAGTTTAGACAGCATGAGGTCACGTATGGACAGACAGAAGAACAGGCCACCATGACGACCAGATCAGCAGTTCACTTGGAAGAAGGCTGGACAAGAACAGTTTCTGATTGCCTATCATGGAGTAGATGACACACTCTTATCTTAGCCACAAGAGAGAACTTAGAACATTGTGCAATGCGGACGTCATGTATGCTGACGGAATATTCTTTTCATCACCTCGTTTGTTTCTATAAACATTCCCCATTAATGAATCATTTTGCCAGTGATGGACACCGGACTAATAACTACCTAGAAGGCTGGCACATTAAGCTGAACTCCCTTACATCATGCCATCCAAATGTGTATAACGTTATATACCTGGTGGAGAGTGAACAGTCTGTGACAGAGGTGAAGTTGACACAGCAAAATGGACATCAGCGTGAACCAAGAAGGAAGAGAAAGTACATCGCCACTGACGCACTGTTAATAAGGGCTATACGCTATAAAGATAGATTGAGTGCTGGTACTATCTCAGTCATGAACTAGGCTGACCTGGCTGCTCACAAGCTTGGTGAATGGAACTTACTGATGTGCAGGTGGAAATAGCATTGATCAGTCAGAGACATTGAGAGACACGTCTAAATCTCTAAATGACACTGACCATTGATTAACTTGATAGTTGTTACAGCATATGGATTAAAATACGTGTTTTGCTTAAATATTGGAATTATGCATCAGACTACTTGGATACAAATATCTGATATGTATGGTCTTGTCATCCCTTCATTCTGTAAAAGGGACTGTTCCATCTCCCCACATTACCTATTTATAAAACTCGCCAAAGCACGACATACGCATATCACCTAATTGTACTTCTTACTTGTGGGGAGAAATTCGGTGATCTGGGAGGACACCGTGCGTGGAGGTGATGAAGGTTCCTGCGTGGGAACTGGTGACCCAAGGCAGTTAACCCTCTTTAAGAAGTCCCTCCGTAGGTCAAATACCAACTGATTCGTGGGTTCTTTTAAGTGCACAGGATTGTGTACTGTACACTAGGGGTTGTGACAACACTGAAAGAGTCTGCACACAAAGTTGACTCCAAGGTTTTACACCCGGTCACAGGTGGGTCTCGATCCCGACACCTCAACCTCGCTGGATCACTAGCCTTGCGCCTTAGCCAGCTCGCCCACCGCACACCCCCTTTGTTTGACGATAGTGAACATGCAAACAAATTCATTTTTTTAAAATCAATATTTACGCAAATTCGTGTGGATCAACTGTGGGTCGACAGTATAGTACACACTTGTATCTTCTCAGTGAGTCGTGGGAGGAGTGCGGCGCGAGAGAGGTGCTGGAGGAGACGGGGCTGTCACTGAAGGGGGTGCGTTACTGCACCGTAGTCAACGCGTTGAAAAGAGAAGAGAATTACCACTACATTACGCTGTTCGTCAGGGGAGAGGTGGACCTCAGCTACAAGGCGGAACCAGAAAACATGGAACCAACAAAATGTCTGGGTGAGTTTTCTGAATCCGAGATATTCCATATTTTTCTTGTCGTCATTGACGTTCCAAGCGCATATATATACACAGACATCCTTGTATTAGATTCTTGACCAACTTGCTGCATGTAAATAAATTTATTTGAATACTTTTGAATTGTAATTTACAGGTTGGGAATGGGTGGAATGGGACAAGTTTCCTCCCTTAGAAAACCTCTTCTGTCCTCTGCGAGTGCTCCGAAACCAAAACTACAATTTATTCCAAGAAAGCTGATTTTCAGGCACAGTGGCCCACCAGACAGAAATCCGCTGAAGTTTAGTCTCCGTTCCACCTATGAAGTACGAGGGGCGTCCCAAAAGTAGTCGGCCTAACTATATTCTCGATGTCCAATGTTAGAAAGCTTCCATTGTATTTTGAAGGAATCAGTAGCAAAGCCATATCCAGAATTTCACATATGTGGGTAATGTGGTTAACGAGATATTAGTCATCACAACACATTGGGGTATAATATTTCTTTCAGAATTGTAGAAAGTGAAAAACGATCTGTCATTTTGTACCACTTGGATAACGGTATGCCCCTTGTCATAATATCATATAAAATATGTTCAATATAGTATTGGATGACTTCTCGTCATAATCAACATTCAAAGATTTGGATAGCTTTATTTTATATTTAGACGGGGCTGTTTGTAAAGGACACCCCCGTATTAATCTTTCAAAAACATTGTGTCCAGATATTCAACTGACACTGTTTACAATATATTGAGTGCTGGCACTTGTGCGACCATTCAGTATTTAGTTTGAACCCTTGGCATCATGTATGAATAAGTGAAAACATTAGAATGAGTTATGTCCTTATGATTACGTCATCTGAAGGGGGTTGGGTAGTGTCTCCAAAACCAGCTCTTTCAATAAACATCATGGAGGGAGTCACTTTAAGCGACTGTAGTTTCAAATTGCATTTTCATGCACTTAAATATCTACATTTTATTCTAGAGGACTTCTGCCTATCTCAAACACACAAAATGTTTCTTGCATATTTTGTTTCCTGAAGTTTCTGATGGATTTATTGCAGATTTGTGCGTTTTTGGGGGGTACCAAGATAAAGAGTCAAACAAAAATCGGTTGGAATAGATACTCCACCATAGTCTGGTAACAATCTCAGTGACTGGAATACACACTGCCCGGGTGGCTTTGAGGGTGGACTCATTTGCTGGTGCTTCAGTGAAGCCGCTCTGAGATACTTCCATCGGCTTTGTCCTTAATGGTTACAGTAGACGCCATTCCCAAGGTAGCTCACTCCCATCATCACACATCTTGCTCTCAATCTGTCGCATTCAGTGACACGTGTTTGCTGATGTTGAACATAAAACCATAATGCCAGGGGTTAATAAGTCTTGATTATCCGCCTTAACAGATTCCACCCTGAACGATAGCATTGAAAATTATATGAATGGATCATACTGTGGAAGCGGCAGTGGCTGAGCGGGTTAGGCAGCTGACTTTGTGTGCTGACGATTTGGTGCCTGACTCTGAGGGTGTGGGTTCGAATCCCGAATGGGACTCAACCCAATAAAAGTACTAGAATCTGTACTTTACTAAGAAAGTGTAATCCCAAATATAACATATGTTACATTTGACCACTTTCTAAATGACGTGTATTCATGCCAGTGTTTACGCTAGATGGCCTGTTAATGGGGTCAACACCTCTACCGACCTTGGCGACAATGAGTTAAAACGCAGGGGTGATCATCTGATATACAAGTTCAGGGTTTGGTTAGTGAGTGAATGTTGATTGACGCCACATTGTTGCTACATACGGTGGTATAGATGATAAGATCTGTGTCAAACCAGTGCTTGATAGCATGAAAAACCCTCCATCACCCTACAAACATTCATTTCTGATGGTTTGGTATCCCCAATTTCTTGACTGACATTGCGAGAGTACCCGGGTTTGTTGGCAGGAGGACAGTCCATCTGACACTGGGTGATGCAGAAAGTTGCAGTGTTGGGGAGTGGACACATTTTCCTTAATGTCCTTGGTGGGTTCAACTAGGCAGCACTTCCCATTCGCTGTCATAATCAAATCAATGCCTTTCAATAATTAAATACGAAAAAAGTGAGTCTAAATAAAGTTTGGACTTCAAACTCCAGATTTATCAATATTTGCCTCAAAACCAACATGTAACGAGAAAATGAACAATAACTTAAATAAAGTCTTATGTACAACCTGCTTTTGTCACTAAATTCTGTTATCAGTATGCTTAACACAGAAAAAGCTCATCATCCTGGACCTCTTCAACACTTTTGGTGGTATTAGTGAAGTATGGAAGCTCTTCATGACAGAAAATCTTGTGCACTTTTGCACAGTTATTTGTCTGATGATTCTCCCCCGAGGCTCATGATGAACAAGAGGCATTTTAAGTTTGCTTGAAAAGAGTAGGGGACACAATGTCAATGTCAACATTGTTTTTGTGGATGGTTCTGTACTGATGGACAGAAATGAACATCAGCTAAGCAAAGTGCCCTATCAAATCGACACAGGCCCAGGTTTTCATGAGAAGGCAGTTGCGTTGAGAAGACATTAGCTTGAATGAAGTCGACTGGCCTGAAAAGTGAAATAGAGGGTTTTCTGTTTTGTTGCTCACGATAATTCACTGTCGGCGTATGATTCTGCATCAAAATATAATATGAAATGTAGATTATGCTATGAATTTAATGAAAATTCCCGACACCTCGTTAGTGAATGCACAAAAACAGTATTTTAATCAACATGATGACGTGTCTCATTCCTTTTATTACCAACTTCACCATGCTTGTGGTTTTGACTCGGAGGTCTATCCATGGTACAACCCAGTATGTGGAGGGCATAGATGAAAATGTATCTAGACTCAGACCCATCCAAGCCAACAAACCTGACCTTGTTCATTTTCATAAAGATAATGAAATATTTCTGTATACAGTGTATATATTTCTTTCTGTCCCTGTAGACACAAATATGATTGACATTCGCAAGTAAACATGGCGAATATGCGGATGTTAATATGAAATATCATCCTTGCATCCCAAATACAAAGTTGTCTGACCCCCATTGTCCTTGGTGCCCTGGTTTGGTATCCCCAGTTTCTTGAGTGGCATATAGAAGTTGATGTGATGAACAAAGAGGAAAGTTCTTTAATATAATATGAGCGACATTTCGGTGTAGCTACTAACACCATTATCAAGCCAGCGATAGCCGCGGAACTTTGCACTCTGTGCAGTTTGTCCAAGCCTGGTTTATTTGATCCATACAGCGATGAACTGCAGTAATCCAGGCGAGATGACACGAGAGCACGATGAGTGTTTTTGTTGCTTCTCTCTGCCAATGTAGCGACGGATCTGACTAATGTTACACAGGTGATAACATGGAGTCTTGCATACAGTACCTGTATGACACTCAGTCACCAGTGTAGATTGGAAGATACTACCAAATTCCGTGCTTGGTCACTTGGATTGACAGCGCATTCTCCGATTTGTACAGTGAGGCTACTATTCTAGGGAGCAATTGTCTTGAATTGATGGTGAGGAGTTCTGTCTTATCATGGTTTAACTTTCGGTAGTTAGTCGACATCCAGAGAATTATATTGTCTATGCTTGATGAAAGCATTCTAAATGTGCATGTGACGGATGTGTGAACCAGCAGTCTGAAACCAATGTACAACTGCGAATCATCTGCATAAAAGTGGAAGGATAGTCCATGCCCCTGGCTAGATCATCTACAGGTAAAGTGTACGTAGTAAATAACACAGGTCCTAGGGCCGAACTCCATTTTGAAGTGATGTTTACTTGACCTCCAACCATTTATGACCACAGACTGGTACCGGCCACTCAGGAATGACTGAAACCACGCCATAGCACTGCCTTTGATTCAGACACGAATTTCCAGGAGGGACAGAAGGATGGTATGGCCTACAGTGTCAAAGCCTGTCATGGAAGCTACAGAACTGAGGCCATTTTGCTCTCTGTAAAGCGGACTTGGTACTATGGCAGGCTCTATATGCAGATTGCATACTGTCACCTAAGTTGTTGATGTTCATATGTTCTGAAAGAAGTTGACACAACATGTTCTACTAAAGTACTGTCGGAAATGCTAGAAGAATGCTTCTTAACCTTAATACTTTGATAAAGGTGATAAATGTACTATGTTGTCAATATATCAACTCGCCTATAGTGTACCTAATTTTTATTTCAATCGATTTAACATTTCCATGCATTTAAATGACAGTTTACAGGAGAGAATTTGATACCAAAACAACAACTCAAGATTCTTTCCGAGTTTAACATGAGAAATGTGAAATAGTCTTTAAATTTATGCTAAAATACAGGTGGTGCAAAAATATAAATTAACGCTTTTCTTAATGAAATAAAATGTTGAATGTTTGTGTTACTTGACTTAATTAGCGTTTCTTCATTGAAGAAAAATTAATATAAATGTTAAGTCTTAATAAATAAGTTGCCCGTCATGCATGCACATCTTTATCACAGCCTTCACTATGGCCAACTATTTGCAGTCGATTGTTGCAAAGGTTTATAAGTTTTTTGTGCTTGAGAAAGACAGAGGTAAACCTTTCATTAGTTTAGAAAGGGTTTATTACAGAACTTGTAGAGCTGTTGGTATGTCTTACCAACAAGTTTACAATATTGTAAACAAATCAGACAAGACAGGGACAGTCTCAAAAGCAAAACTGGGAAGCTATACCAGTGATTTCGTTAAATCTTTGGCCAATGTTCACAACTGGATTAAATTGACCGAATTACATCCATATTTTTGCAAAGAAATATACTAATGACATGCAAAACATTTATTAAAACGTTGTACATATATATAGGTGTAGCTGGTGTGCACAATAATGTGGATATCACATGATCACTTACATAACCAATAGGTATACTATATGTACACATATACAACATTATGAAGAAAAAGATGTATTGAGATGACCCCTCACCCGAGCTTGTGCTCAGGTGTCAATTTCACCTGTCGATACCATGCATGCTGATGACATAACACAGGCAGTTAATGTTTGTATCAAATAACGTTCCACTACCCCTTATTTTTCTAAGTTTTTGATATTTTCATATGTAAAAACACATTTTAGGGCATGTCTCAAACTTTATTCCCTCGGTCTACATTAGGTAGATGTTTCTTAAAGTGATATTTGTTATTTAAGTAACTGTAATATCTCTGATTTTTACATAAAAGTCAAAAAGCATTTTTCCAGCATTTCCGATAGTACTTTAGTTTCGACACAAATGGACTTGTGTTTCCTTGAGAGAACCTGAAACTTCGACTGATTGACAATCTTCACACTTGACTTCATCAGACTGATTGACAATCTTCAAAAACACTGGTGTAACTTCATCAGCACAATGTTTCAGAAGCCACGTGTGAATGGGATCTAGAGGGCACGATTTAGTCGGACATCTCTTCAAATCTTGGCAATTTCTGTGTCTGTTGCTGGAGTGAAGGATGATAAATGTTCAGTTGTGGTTTTCAATGTGTCACTGGTAGCTGATGAAGTATCATTCTTCCATACCTCTACTGCACGTCAGATCTTGAGTATCTTTGAGGCAAGAATCAACAAAACGTCTTTGCAAGCTTGTATGATGATGTTTGAAAGGGCATACAATTAACTGTTTAATTACGACAAAATCGCATGCAAAGTACACCAAACTTTATTTTCTTCAACAAGAACAAACTGTACAAGAACAATATATATGGTAACTACTACGTTATCAGCTTAAGAAACACGAGTAGTTGCTGATCACAGAGATGCAAGAGAGGCTGGATGTCAGAACGTCAACTACAGATACTGTCAACAACTCAAGATGCAGGGGAAACTGAATGTCAACTAGATATTGTCAACAACTCAAAATGAAGGAGAGGCTGGATGTCAGAATGTCAACTACAGATACTGTCAACAACTCAAGATGCAGGGGAAACTGAATGTCAACTAGATATTGTCAACAACTCAAAATGAAGGAGAGGCTGGATGTCAGAATGTCAACTACAGATATTGTCAACAACTCAAGATGCAGGGGAGACTAGATGTCAAATTTCAACTAGATATTGTCAACAACTCAAGATGCAGGGGAGACTGGATGTCAGAATGTCAACTAGATATTGTCAACAACTCAAGATGCAGGAGAGGCTGGATGTCAGAATGTCAACTACAGATATTGTCAACAACTCAAGATGCAGGGGAGACTGAATGTCAACTAGATATTGTCAACAACTCAAGATGAAGGAGAGGCTGGATGTCAGAATGTCAACTACAGATATTGTCAACAACTCAAGATGCAGGGGAGACTGAATGTCAACTAGATATTGTCAACAACTCAATATGTAGGGGAGACTGATGTCAGAATGTCAACTAGATATTGTCAACAACTCAAAATGAAGGAGAGGCTGGATGTCAGAACGTCAACTACAGATATTGTCAACAACTCCAAATCACAGGATTCTTGAATTTACAAACATTACCCACAAGAGGGCTTTCTTTGACAAGGACTTAATGAAAAAAACTTGTATTTCATTTGATAGGATTTGATGGTGTCAAGGTGTCTAGCTTCTTGTTACATGGTGGATATACATCTATATTATGAGAAAATATATGAAAATGTATATTAGCCAAAAACTTTCAGAATTAGTATAACAAAGCACAGTATATCAGTACTCTTAAATGTCTTATTCATACCAATTTTATTCTTTGAAATTCATTTCATAATAAACTCATAATTATTAACAGCATAACACATGAAACAATTTTTTAGTTTAAACACACAAAAAATGGGATTAACAATATGTCCAAAAAGATCCTAAGTAAAAGAATCATGGAATTGTTCTGCAATACAACAGAAAGTCAAAATGATATTGATGTAAATGATAAGAAGCCTATATTAATCCTTTCAACTTTTGAAACATCTATCCCATTACATGTTTACAGGTTTTTCACTGTGTACATGGTGTATTTATAGTCACAGTCTCGGTGTAGATGGTGTACCTACAGTCACTGTCCAAGTGAACATATGTTTGAGGTAACTATTTAAAGGTCACATGCAACGTAAAACACAACTTTGCAGATTCTGATACCTTTCGTATGGACTTACTGAAACAAATAATCAACATGCAAATTCAACTTATAAAGTTGAAAAATAACGCGATGAAAAAACTGCACGAAATCGGAGTTCAAATGATTCACTAATTTTCCCCCGATTTTTCGGGGGAAAACTGGTTTCAACAGGTGGGCTGCGCTCATAGCACATGCCCAGTGAAATAGGTTCAGCGCGACTTGGAAGCGGGCTGTCCGGTGAATACTTTCGGTGAAGGCTTTGGTGTGAGCTATTTTCCTAATGTTTTGTTGATATCTCACAGGCGCTGAGCTTTTATATGTTATGACAGTAAATAAACTGTTTATATAATTTCATTTGTCTATTTCACCACACGTTCTTCTTACCGAGTCACTTTCTCAGTTCGATACTTAAAAGCAATGTCATTATTTAGCGTTGACAGAATTTCTAACTGTGATATAGATATGTCGTTGTCACAGACTCAATGTCTGTTTTATTGACACCTATGTGTCTGCCTGCCTGTCTGCTAATGACAATATTCAATACACAACTTTGATCACTGACCACATGCAATTTAAATTAACACCTATCAGGCTATACACCATAAACAAAACGCATTGATTTATGGCCCGAGTTCGGTCTCTGTCACATTATGTAATTACACAGACAGGCAGGTGTGATACTTGTACACATGACATGTTATGATGTCTGTTGATTGCAAAATGTTATACACACAAAATGAGCATGTATTTACAAAACCCAACATCTCTATATATACACACACAATGAGCCGTGAGGGCATCGGCAAATGAACCAGCCGTTACACTTGAGTGCACACCCACCCGCTCTGACTGGGTTCAGTATCGCGGCTGCTTCGTTTCTAGGGAAGTAAACCCAAGTACAAAATATTGCACTTTTGATTTGCGATTGTAGGCTTATAATTTCGTTTATATGTTTTTTCATAATCAGCAATGTATATTATATGTCATGAAGAAGTGATAATTGTGTTTTAATTATGTTTGATTTTTTTGTTGCATGTGACCTTTAAGGGAATGTTCACAAGCCATAAAAAAACTTCAACAAATACACTGGTTTGCTCGACACTGAACAACACAATTCCATGTATACAAACACAAAACAATTTTGATCACAATAATCCATTCTTATACGAAAGTATGAAAATGAAAACTTAACATGATTCTCCCCAAGGATGGCAGGAAGGGTGATCTCATTTATTTTGACAAATTCAAGATGTAGCTGATGTCAGTCACATTCCCAAACAATGTTATAAATGATGAATCATCAGAATTATTTGTGAATATGTTGTCCCTCACCCCAACAACAAGGTGCAATGGCAACAACAATCTTGAGCTTGGAATACTGTCAACAAGGGTCAGATATTAACAAACAGATCCCTATATTACATGGCATACACTTAAGTACCAGAATACTTTCTACAATGAACTTCTGTAATGGTTTCAACCTGCCTTCCTGCCATACACAGACACAGATATCTAATGTACTACTAAAGGTTATAGTCAGATGTCAAAATGTTGTAGTATGCAGAATGCCTCACTGAATATCAATACAAAATAAAGGTTTAACCTTTCTTATAAAATAATGCAACAATAATGAACACCTCATTTGATAACGACCTGTTTCATTAGGCCCATTGTAAGCAGTGCATGTCTCAGTGACAGCACTATGAACATATGCATAGAGATATCTCTGTTGGCCATCACAATCAACATACAGTATTTAGGCTATCTAGACTATAAATATATTTTGGCAATCACTGTTTGATATGAAAACTCTAGTTTTTCATTTTGAAATTGGAATAAATGAGAATTAGAAAGTAAAAATATTTTAGCCATCACCAGTACTTCTTTTGACAATAAACTATTTGTCTATCACTGTTAATTATGAAAACTTCCCAAGTACACATTTCCTTCGCTTGTCTTGGTCAGGGCTTGTATGTACAACAATGTCTAACTGGCTAAATTTACATTTTTGCACATTTTGTGTTTGATATATTTTAATGTCAAAATGGTCAAACGAGTCCAAATAATACATCTGATTCAAAACGACAAAAGATTTAGTGATCATCTATAACAAAATCAAACAATTCTCTCTTGATTTATCCTGTAATGTTACCTAAATCTAGTTACATCCTCCAACATTGATAATAAATAGGAAAATGATAATCTAACTTCAGTCACACAGATTTCAATACATTTCCACCTACAATTGTATTGCAAGAGTTTATCACAGTTTCAAATCAATCCTAAAGACCGTAATTTGGAATATTTCACAAAGCACTGAATACTTGAACCGGCCACTGATGGCATTGGCACTGATACATTTACCCTTTACATAACAAAACAAACACAATGGTCCATAAACAAGGAGCTGTTCATAACAATAGAAAATCATCTCAAATGGAAAACTTGGGAAAATAACTATCCCAGTGATGATTATTATCAATGAATACTGTACGCATTTGTAAACCACAACGCTATTCTCAAGTCAAAGTGATTACATTGACTAAAATGCTTCTGTCAAAAATGGAAGATTAAATATGAAACAGTTCCCCTGCATTATGTAACAAGTTTATAAAATGGCGGAACAGAATTTTAATATTATTAAAACGAGACACATGATACTTTCTATGTAATGCATTTCCCCAACTCTAACTTCATAATATTTCTACAAATGTCATACCTATACTTGTGTCAAATAAAAGAAGTCATGGTAATAATATCTTCATATTTGGAATATCAACAAAAGCCTGAAAGAGAGCCTATCAGTACCATGTTGGTTATTACGGAGAGGCAACTTTGTGGTTATCAAAGCAAACAAACTCACTCAAACTAACTTTAAGCATATATATAGAAACACTGGAAAAAGAAATAAAATATTAACAATCTGCAGGTAAAAAGACCCTGGTACAGTATATCACAGTGAAGAAATGAATTCTTCAAGGAACTGAGCTTTATAAAGAATCATGTAAAAAGCAGTGTTATCGTTCATAATACTGAGACACTGTCGATACTCCAACATCGTCTATTGTGAAAATGCAGGCGAGAGGCTCCTTTCTCCTTCAATCCTGTGTTGTTGGTCGCCTACCATAAGGCATAGAGTTCTTTAGCATCATTAAGACTCTCCAACAACAGCTTTTGTACAGTTCTCTCTGTACATCTCAAGGATTAGTATCAGCTGTAGACAAAGGCATGGTTTTCTCTCATTTCCAACTGCCGTAGTCTCATTGTATTAGACGCGCGACGTATCCGTTGTGACTTGGTTGAGCGATGACTGGCAGGATTCTCCGTCACAGAATGGTTGGAACTGATTCTACTGAGGCCACTTCCTGGTGATGATGCTGACACAACCATTTCAGGTCGAACGAGTTCTGGGCGTTGGACAACTGGCGCTGGTGCCGACACCACGGAGAGACCATGTGATGGAGGAGCCGGGCCAAACCGAGGGAGTGGGAGATCTGAAATAACACACCATTACTTAACGTCAAAGACTACTGTCATATTTGTCATGGTCATCTAAAGTAATTTAGCCATGTGGGAAATACACAAAAGGCCAAAAAGCGCTTGTAAAATCTCAAAATCATCATCATCATCAAATAATTTAGGTTTCAGCCCATGATTTCAACTTAACATTTATTTGACAGAGTAGTTTTTAAAAGATACCTTAGTATCTCACTCATTAAATATATTATTACTTAGTTATTATCCCTGTGAACTTGGGATGTCCTAGGCTATGCATGAAAGTAACGTCTGTCAGTGTGTAGTAATGTGTGCATTATTTAAGCTAAACGCTGTGTAACGGCTACTAAAGTATGACTGGATATTGAAGCGGGAGTACGATTGCTATGTTATGTAACTACAAAGCCAAGAGAAGTCAAGTTTTGAAAACTGAAAGCAAACTACTGCAGAAAGTTATTTAATCATACATTATAATGTTATTGGGTTCAATTCCCTTACTGTAAAGAACATTTCTAATACAGACATACAGCATGTTAGTTCACATAACATCATGCAAAATCAGTGACAAAAACTGTAAAAGGAGCCTAAGTTTCCTGTAGGTAAATAGTTTTGTTAATACATCTCTATATACACGGCCCACACTTAGACTAGACATTATGATACTGCATACACAATATTATTATTGAGAGTATTTGAGACATGCACACATCAAGTTTATAAGTTAAACATATAGCAGCATATAATGTTAGGTAAAGCACAGCATGTAAATTCTTTATTGGTTGTGTCATATACTGCTGAGGTGTCTGCCATTATAGAGAAGTATATTAGATGAGATGATAAGGATCTGCCTCACAGAACACCCCTGGGTAGAGGACTCTTATTGTCATTCACACAAACAATGCAGCAAAACAATATCTGAACTAAGTTAAATACACATTGAAAAAAGTATCGCAACACCTATGATTTTTACCCCCCATATAGCCAGCGATACATATTCATACCACAATTCTGTTTGTTGGGATGATTAGTTTTACCCTTCGGGTGCACCATACATTTATTTATATGGACATATAATGTCAATCAGCAAATATCAAGTTTCAGTAAACTGTTCTCATAGCTCAATAACTTGGAAACTCAATTGATTTTGTTGTTGATCAGCAAATATGATGTCTCCTCAACTGACAACTGCTCGAAGATGGCAAGTTATTGGTATGCGGAATGTTGGCATGTCACTGAGGGATATTGCCAGAGATGTTGGTTGTTATCCAAACACTATTATCCGATTGGCCAGAAAACATCAGCAAACTAATGACGCTAAGGACTGTCAGCATTCAGGTCTACCATGAGTGACAACTCCAGCGTTCAGGTCGACCAAACTCCAGCGTTCAAACTCCAGCGTTCAGGTCGACCATGAGTGACAACTCCAGCGTTCGTTCAGGGTCGACTCATGAGTGACAACTCCAGCGTTCAGGTCGACCATGGTCAACCATGTTCAGGTGACAACCATGGTGGCAACTCCAGGGAAGGATACATGTCAAGTGGCATGTTCAAAACAGAATGGTATCCACATTGTTGTTTGTCCAATGGTCCGAAATCAAATAAATTTGGTCAGGTACAGACCCAAATAATCTATCAGATGTCTGTTGTTATCCCCAGAGCACAAAGCAGCATTATTAGCTTGGTATCAAGTTTTTCAATCTTTCTGCATTAAGATTTGCCATTTAATTATTCCTTGTGGGTCAGTATATTCAGATAGTATGTTAAACTGAGGTTTGGATATGTTTTTTTGCTATGGTTAATAGTAACATATTGATACTATGAAAAATATGGGTTGTTGCGATACTTTTTTCCATGTGTATATTTTGAACAATTGATGCCCTTCAATACAGCAGACAAAACAATAACCCCCAAATTCTTTTCTATGAGCCGGAAGCAGCCATTTGAAATAGTGTTTATCAATTTGTACAGTAAAATATAAGGATTAGATTGGAGTAATGGCAAGAGGTTCAAGGTGAAGACTTTGTGTAAAGTATGTCATCATGTACTGGTGAAGTCTTGTTGTTTATCAAAACATAAATTACAGATAATTCCCCAAAGTCTTAAAAATTAAAACTGCATATTTTATGAAAATAATATTGGAATTAATCTGTCAAAAGGTAACGCGGGTGACCTAACGTGAGCTCAGCGAGGACGGAAACCTCACGTAGAGCATAAGGGCAAAAGGTCGCTTGATTTTAATTTTCAGTACAATTACACACCGTGAAAGCGTGGCCTAACAATCCTTTTGAATGACAAATCAGAGACTAACTTCCCTCTTCACACGTAGGCATCTTAGATATTCCTTAATGAAATTCATTCACAGAAAACAACTAGCCAATACCCCTGTTTGCATCCTGCGGGTGTTGTCAGACAGACAGACATACCGACAGACAGACAGCCATACAGACAGACATACCGACAGACAGACAGCAGCTATACCAACAACAACCTGAGTTTACACACATAAGGTAAATGCAACATACATGTGTGCACTGCATGAAGCTTACTGTCAGATACACACCGAGCACGTTAACTGGCCTACCTATCAGATACTCCCAGGTTTTCTGCCCTAGAGTAATGATAATAGGTTTGTAGTGCTCTACAGGTAACAATGATAATTTAGCAGATAGATCCTTCTAAAATGTTATAGTCTAGTAGGAATATTATTTTGTATAGTAATCGTCTTGCAAGTAGAGAATTGTGCTCAATAACGGTCTTGTAGGTAGAACATTCTCTACAGAAATAGTCCAGTGGATAGATCATTCTCTACAATAACAGACCAGAATGTTGGTAATTCTCTACAATAATGCTGAAGAAGAAACTTTGTCAAGATGATGTCATCCATCTGCAACAAAACCCTCACGATAATGTAAGGTGACATAATCCCCGCCATCACTTATCAAATCAAACTTATAAACGTGTAGGAAAGATAGCCGTCCCAGCGTCCGAGGCAATTTTGTGGAGGACGGGTTAAAAAAATATCTAGTCAGTCCTCATGTCGGGTCAATTTTAGCAAACCAATGACATATATATAATGATTATAACCTTTTTGAATATTTACTGCCGAAGGTGTTTTATTTATATTTGGAGGACAGGCTAGATTTTGGCAGGACTGGTAAAAAATTTGACCTACCAGTCCTGTGGACAGGCTAGATTTTCTACATCTTTCCTACACTGTTATAAAGTAATGAAAGTTTAAGTTAAATGTCAACAAAAACATGACCAGTCAACCTCTCTTGATACCTTGCTCTTTAGGTGTTCAAACACACATATTTTCAAAACTGACTTTGACCTTGTGATAAAAACATTTAAGGGAAGTCTTGAGTGTCCAGTAAACAGTTCTTGAAATATGCAAAATGCTGAAATAGTAACTGTGACCTTGAAAGAAATTGCTTTTGAAGAAACATTTAAGGAAAAGTCTTTGAAGAACCTGCAGGTAAATATGCTGAAATCCAGTGAACAGTTCTTGAAATATCTTGCTGACAATTCAGGTTAATATGCTGAAATGTTCAAAGTGTCTCTGTGACCTTGAAAATTAAGTGAAGGTCACCAAAATCGACTGGGCCCTGCACCTTCCCTAGATGAAGCTTGGTGTCAAATATGAAGAAACTCCAGTGAATGGTTCTTGAGGTATCTCGCTGACAAGCATAACCTGCAGGTTAATATGCTGAAATGTTCAAAGTGTCTCTGTGACCTTGAAAATTATGTGAAGGTCACCAAAATCGACTGGGCCCTGTGCCTTCCCTAGATAAAGCTTTGTTCTGAATACGAAGAAAATCCAGTGAACAGTTCTTGAGATAGCTTAACATGCAGGTTTACATGCTGAAATCTTCAAAGTGTCGCCATGACCTTGAAAATTATGTGAAGGTCACCAAAATCGACTGGGCCCTGCGCCTTCCCTAGATAAAGCTTTGTATTGAATATGAAGAAAATCCAGTGAACAGTTCTTGAGATAGCTTAACATGCAGGTAAACCGTTAGTCCCCTTGTGACCTTGAAATGAAGGTCAAGGTCACCAAACATGACTTGGACCTTTCTTACACTGTGATGAACGAAGGTACCAAATATCAAAAGATTTTAGTGAACGGTTCTTAAGATATTCCAATTCGTACGGACGGACGGACGGACGGACAGGACGGATATTCCAATTAGCCTAATACTATATCCCTCGCTTCGCGCTAAACACGCAGCGGGGGATAAAAAGCTAATTTATGGCTTTATCCTGAAGCTCCTGTATAAAAGCATGAACTGCTGGCACTACGCATAGCCTATGGGATTTGTGAACTTCCTACCCAGTGTCTTTAGTATGTCTTTTCAGTGGCCACATTGGTTTTACGCTTTGGTGAAAACCTCTTAACTTAAAAGGAACAAAGGTCGCAAATGAATCAGAATTTCAAAACAAAAATGGAAGTAGGTGACTTAATAAAGTTAATATTCCAGGGCTTGACTTGGGGGTGAAATTTCACATCATGCAATGCTATCTGTATTGTCAAGAATCAGATAAATCCTCAAGCACTGTCAGCAGCTTTGTGATAAAGATACTTGTTTCTCGGGTACAAAACTTATTAAAAAAAAGTCACTTTAAAACGTTCTTCTATTTATACATGAAGACAAAAAAAGGGCATTTCTGGCAACACTTTTCACATTAATAACATCATCCATCCACACCCTTTTCCAAAGTTGTTCCCTGAAAGCTGTTTGTGATCCACCACTATATAACATTTATGTAACACCCTGAGGTATTTATCCACCAACATGTAACACCCTGAGGTATTTATCCACCACCATGTAACACCCTGAGGTATTTATCCACCACCATGTAACACCCTGAGGTATTTATCCACCACCATGTAACACCCTGAGGTATTTATCCACCACTATGTAACACCCTGAGGTATTTATCCACCACTATGTAACACCCTGAGGTATTTATCCACCACCTTTAAACTCCCTGAGGTATTTATCAACCACCATGCAACATCCTGAGGTATTTATCCACCACTATGTAACATGATGATGTATTTATCCACCACCATGTAACACCCTGAGGTATTTATCCACCACCACGTAACACCCTGAGGTATTTATATACACCACTATGTAACACCCAGAGGTATTTATACACCACCACGTAACACCCTGAGGTATTTATCCACCACTATGTAACACCCTGAGGTATTTATCCACCACTATGTAACACCCTGAGGTATTTATCCACCACCTTTAAACTCCCTGAGGTATTTATCCACCACTATGTAACACCCTGAGGGTATTTATCCACCACCATGTAAGACCCTAAGGTATTATCCAGCACAACATAACACCCTGAGGTATTATAAACACCCTGAGGTATTTATCCACCACCATGTAACACCCTGAGGTATTTATCCACCACCATGTAACACCCTGAGGTATTTATCCAACCACCATGCAACAACATGCTGAGGTATTTATCCACCACCATATAAAATGATGAGTATTTATCCACCACTATGTAACACCCTGAGGTATTTATCCACCACCATGTAACACCCTGAGGTATTTATCTACCACCACGTAACACCCTGAGGTATTTATCCACCACTATGTAACACCCAGAGGTATTTATACACCACCACGTGACACCCTGAGGTATTTATCCACCACTATGTAACACCCTGAGGTATTTATCCACCACCATGTAACACCATGAGGGTATTTATCCACCACTATGTAACACCCTGAGGTATTTATATCCACCACTATGTAACACCATGAGGTATTATACACCACTATGTAACACCATGAGGTATTTATCCACCACTATGTAACACCCTGAGGTATTTATCCACCACCATGTAACACCCTGAGGTATTTATCCACCACCATGTAACACCCTGAGGTATTTATCCACCACCATGTAACACCCTGAGGTATTTATCCACCACCATGTAACACCCTGAGGTATTTATCCACCACTATGTAACACCCTGAGGTATTTATCCACCACCATGTAACACCCTGAGGTATTTATCCACCACTATGTAACACCCTGAGGTATTTATCCACCACTATGTAACACCCTGTGGTATTTATATCCACCACTTTTAAACTCCCTGAGGTATTTATCCACCACTATGTAACACCCTGAGGTATTTATCCACCACTATATCCACCCCTGAGGTATTTATCCACCACCATGTAACCCCTGAGGTATTTATCCACCACCATGTAACATCCTGAGGTATTTATCCACCACTACATAACACTGTGAGGTATTCATCCACTACCATATAACACGGTGAGGTATTTATGCACCCCCATGTAACATCCTGAGGTATTTATCCACCACCATGTAACACCCTGAGGTATTTATCCACCACTATGTAACACCCTGAGGTATTTATCCACCACCATGTAACACCCTGAGGTATTTATCCACCACTATGTAACACCCTGAGGTATTTATCCACCAACATGTAACACCCTGAGGTATTTATCCACCACCATGTAACACCCTGAGGTATTTATCCACCACTATATATCACGATGAGGTATATCCACCACTATGAGGTATTTATCCACCACCATGATGAGGTATTTATCCACCACTATATAACACCCTGAGGTATTTATCCTCCACCATGTAACACCCTGAGGTATTTATCCTCCACCATGTAACACCCTGAGGTATTTATCCACCACCATGTAACACCCTGAGGTATTTATCCACCACCATATATCACGATGAGGTATTTATCCTCCACCATGTAACACCCTGAGGTATTTATCCTCCACCATGTAACACCCTGAGGTATATATCCACCACCAAGCCTCTCTACACATCCACCACCACACTGTGTATCACCTCAATGTACAGAAACAACTGCATGCATGCCATCACCCAAGGAAAACACAGCACGCTACCATACCTGGGTCTCTTCTCCCATGTGCACTGAGTATTCGAGCCTTCTGCGTGGGTGTGGTTGTGTCTGACCGCCACTCTGTCTGACCACTACTCCGAGCCAGCAGCCGATTCCGCTCTGCCTCCGTCTCAACCATGCTACTGCGGTAGTCTGTCTCTGGCACAATGGTGGCTGGTCCACTCCTGTTGGCTGCCATCGGTTTCCGTGACAGCTGCCTTCTCTAGTAACAAACAAAGTAAAGACACTTTTCTAACATTTGTACAACTAAACCTTCATCAACCATAAAACATAACTTCAATTAATCATACTACAAATTTTACAGAATATCAATGAATATCATTAAGAAAAATGAGCTGGATTATTTTTCTAAAAAAATATTACGTAATAAAGACATTTAAAAAGAAACCATTTCACTATTTCACAAAGAATGACAACGATATGTCACATAAATACGTCCCCTTGAAACAAGAGCTGATTTTATTTACCGGTACATTTAAATACACATATATGCACATTAAGCAACACACTTGATAGTGAGGATGTCAACGAATGAATTCAAATCCAATAAAACAACATGACAATATAACTGAAAGAAGACATTTGACATTGACTACAGTGAGTGAGCTAAGCTTGACTGACAGGTGCAGTGAGAGGAGTTAATCACACAGACAAATGGATGAGATGATGTTCAGAAGACATGTTCACAAGATCTTGAAGATGGGGCACAAGATCACCTGACGTCTAGACACACCTGTGTCATGTCAACCACATGATGTGTGCCCACTTGCAAAGTAAGACAGTCAAAGTCAACGAGGATAGCCAGTGTCAGATGGATGGGAAGATGAAAAATTCAATATACATGTATATTCTGCAGATCATCTACTCCATGATCAGTAAATCCAGACTACATAAGAAAACCTTGATGTGAGCTGGCATCAGAGGAGGCATCAACACAGCGACAGCAAATTATCATGTCCTTATCAAAATGGTCAAAAATTTACTATAAATAATTACAACAATATGTTCAACCAAACTATAAATAATTACAACAATATGAATAATATTGGCTTAGATTCATTTTGTGTCATATCTTACACCATATTTTTACTACTCTGCCATTACCTCCCTTTATATACTGAATTTGATAAACATGTTTTTTCCTTCAGTAAATGAGGGCAGCAGCCTGACCAGGCCCAAGGGTCACATAGTGATGAACCAGACTGTAATCACCATCTCCATCCCATAAATGCAGTGGGATGAATAACTATCAATGGAATTATAATTTGAAATGTGGCCCTGACAATGTTGTAAAGGCAAACCAGTGGTCAATAAAGTGAGCATTAGTCAGTGGTATTACAGTGGTACACAATGACATATATGATCAGTTACTCAAGTGATTGCTGCTATAAACAAGCATGGGTTCTGACTAATGTGCCTTGAAATTGTAACCAAGGCACAGGTTGAATAGACATCTACAAGAAGTTATGATGAAGTGGTACAATGATTTGTTCTCAAGTCTACCGAAACAAAGATGGGTGTTACTTGTATGACACAATGGTGCATATCTATATTTTGCCATGCATCCATGCTGCGCATGTCTACTCCATATCCATCAGAGAAGCTAGCTACAAGCCTTGTGCTGGAAGCCCATCAACATCTAGCTTGGGACACAAATCACTTACCTGAAAAGCTGGCACCGTTCTCTCATTCACGTTGGCTAAACTGGCGTTTTTGCCCTGCCATCGTGTTCCATAATTTGGCTGAGTGGACAAATGAGTATAGGGTAAGGTATACGGTCCTATTGGTCTGGTCAAGTAGGCAGGGGGTGGGATGATAGGGTGGGGGGTGGAGGCCATGGCCAGGAGGGGGAAGGAGGTAGCTAGGAAGCTAGTGGGACTTGATGCAAAGATGGACTGAGAGGTCACAACAGGTTGAGAAGGCACGAGGTTAGAAGTGAGAGTGGGAGGATGTTTAGGAGAGTAAGAGTGAAAGTGGTGATTATTGTCATGCAAGTTAAGTTTGGTGTTGTTGTGCGTTAGAGATTCGTCGTTCCCTCCACTTGTCTGAAAGTTAGAACAGAGTCAATCCCTTCAACACTAATGACACACACAAGCCACAACATACAACGTCAGTAGCACCCTAAACTCCACACACAAGTACACAGGTAATCACCATGGCTACAAAGGGTCTAGCACTGGCACATGATTGGCTTTTCACAATTCTGAGGACTCTCATTAAACTTTAGCATCACTTTTTCTTTTGAATGTTTGTAACTGAAGGTACATGTTATTTTTAGATAATTCAAGTTAGTTACAACATTATTGAATTACTAACTCTTTCTTGTGGAGATTATAGTGTTTTGTAGCCTTGGTTAATTATTTTGATATTATCTTCAACTTTTGCTTTGCAGACATATAAGATAGATTCAGTTAATCCAGTTATCAGATAGTTATTTGGACACCAAATCCTGAGATAGGCAGAAATGTATTAGACATAGCATACAACCATTATGTACCGGGTACCCAAAACAACAAAACAGGTCACAGTAGACAAGTAACAGTTCCCATCATTTGTATAGAATGAGTCACCAACCTACAAACTCGACAACATTATATATGCATGCTAAGGCCAACAATAAGGAAAAGCTCTGAACACACATATATTTATTTCCAGTTGTTAGAGAGTTTTTTTATCCTGTTAATGTGTATTGCTGTTATCGACCATATGATTTGTGATGACCAAACCATTTGCAATGCTTAAAGCAAGAGATTCACCTTTTCCATAAAAGCTGTTTAGTATTTTCACATATAAAATAAAGAAAGTCATCAGGACATGAACTTGGATGGTATTTTTGGTATGAGGAATATGAATTTAGGAAACGGTCCATGGTAAATTAGGTTGACTGACATTTCAATACTACAACATATAAAATGTAATAGGTTAAGGAGACAAGATATAAACATTAAACAGTCACATTACTTAAGCACTATGACAAAAAAACAAATTGAAATTAAAGTAAACAGTTAGACGTTTTATTAACATTTCTATTTCGTTAGACTAAAATGATTACATAAATAAGATTTCGTTTTGGATATTAACAGATAAACATTTTACCAATCCACTAAGATTTACTCTAGGTTAAAAACTATGAACTATGGTTAACTAATCCAAACAATGACAAATGGAAGGAACTACAAACAAACATGTAAGTACTTCTATGTCAGGAGGACTTATGCCAGTAAGGTTAAATAAGTCAGATTTTCCACAGCTCCATTCACCTTGCTATTCACAGCCTGTTTGGTAACATTAATGCTGTCACACTCAAGGCAGCAACCACTGGTCAGCAATCCCAGCAAACCAAGCATCCAGTAACCCACCACCTGGCTGAGCCACACCACTGATCAGGAAGGCCATCACTATCACACCACAGAAACCAGGACGGAAAGCCCAAGAAGCATACCCTTAATAAATCTTGAACTGAATTGTTTTGAATGACATCAGAGGCCAGTTTCTTTATGAAAATCTTCAACTGAGTCTGTGTATTTCACTGAATGACAACTTCTTCCCAGTCAGTTAAGTCTACTGTCTATCTCCTGGTTAGCATGAAAGAATGCTGTTGTCAACAAGGTCAGCACCATACTGTCATGGCTTACCTTGACCAACACTTAACAAGTCAAGATTCAATGAAGGTCTCGGTTCCTGTGCCCAATTTTGCTTTCTATCATCCACTTTGTGCCAAAAGTTATTCACTCCGATGGAGAGCTAAATAAGTTGTCTGATTGAAAGTATTGCAAAATTTTGCACCACAAGATATTTAATACAGTAATTTGATCTCATAATGTGTGTCAATTATATCATATTATAAAAATACTTGTAACTTCTTTGTCATGAAAAACTTTTGTATCAACTTAGTATATCTGTCTAAAGTTACCGGCATTCACAGACAGCAACTCTAGCAGTAAACTCAGAAGACTTGAAACCTTGGCTTTTCAAACTCTCTCTTTATACGAACAAACCCAACTGTTAACACTATTCTGGATTCTGCAGGCACTGCAAGGCTGATATATATTGAAGGTAAGTGGCACACAAACGACACGTCCCTCTGGTTAAGGAAGCAGTTACAATCACTTCTACGCAGGCAGGAAACTTCTCCTCCCACTGCACTGTCAGTAGCGGCACGACTCACTGCACATATACACCTGTCTACACCACAAACCACCACTGTCTACCAACCTCGCTGTCAACATTATTGGCTTCAGCTGCCTCCTGCTCGGTATCAAAGTCGTGCGTGAGGAGAAGCTTATTCTCTGCAGTACTGTACGAAAGCCGCACATGCGGGAACTGACGCGTGATGTCTTTAGGATTACGGGTGTAAACCAGCCCAGGCACCCCAGGGATACAGTGTGGATAGTTGGCGGCTCTGTGGCTGGCTCTATCATACTTTAGACTGACACTATCGTTAGACAGTACGTGGTTGGCACCAAAGTATCTATCCAGCAGCTTTTTATAATACTGCCTGTCTTTGGCTCGGATAGGAGGTGGGCGACCACTCATGTAGGGGTCCATGTGTCGGCCAGGGAGTGGCCATCGGTGACTGTCCTAGTGATCACACAGTGCAAGAGAAAGCAGATTAGACACAGCTAGTCCAACTGGACAGCCATCAAACATGCAGTATGCAATTAGGACTTATGCTAGCAAATTAGTTCATGAAACAAATATATACAGGTTGTGTATCCATTTTAAAATCCTCATAGAAACTAGAGTGAGGAAACTTATATATATATATGTTTTTAAACAGATTAACAAGACACAGGTCTCTTGTGACATTAGTTTCAATGTCACCTGTGATGTGAACTCACTATCTTTTTCCATGTAGTTTTCATCCACATTTACAACCAGATAACACCTGATCTAGTTATAGAAGCATCAGCTTTTTCATACGTTTGATGGCTGTCAGTCTGAATTTAGTGGCATTAAAATGCATAATCAAAAATAAATCTGAAACACATAACTATAGACAAAAGCTATAGAGATCCTAAAAACTAGAAAACATATTCACATCTACGAAATGATACAATGAAAAATACTAAGCTGACAAGTAAAACATTAGAATGATTTGTGCTTGCAAGTGCATATAAAGCAGAGTGATGTGCAAGGCAGTGATGGTGCAAACAGCTTGGTCAGCATGCAACTTTAAAACAATGGGGACATGGGGGGGGAGGATGGGGCACTGAAAGCATACACAATCACATAGGAAGTAGTCCATCGTATCTATTTCACTAAAATCACATCAGAGTGTTGTTTTGGAAGTCATTACTTCAACAGTACTACTCAAAAGATATTAAAAGACACATGATTCATCCACATTTCTACAGTCAATCTATCATGCTAGAACCAATTAACTACAGTAATATGAGTAAATCTGCTGTTCTTTAACTTCTTTTCAGTAGTACATTTATCTAGAGTTGATTTGTCACTACCAAAGTACTTCTTAATTATGCTATGGACTTAGCATTCCATTAATTTAATTTTAATTTTACTTTCATTCTTTTCACTGTCATAAATGAATTGGCATTTTATATATTGAAAACAAAACAGATTATAAGGTAGTAAAATAAAAGGCTTTTAACTGTCATTGCTTGCTATTCCTGAAAACCTGCATATAATGTGTAATGCTACTATTCATAATGTTTTATCAGTCTACATTGATATGTTTTCAAGCCTGAGAACATATATAATTAACCTCAACTTGAACAGTTACAGGTTGTACTCAACAATTTCCCCAAATAATGCACACATAGCATGAATTAACCAATCACAAATATACTAGGTGAGGTGAGGTGAAATTGGGTTTAACGTCGTGCTCGAGAATATTTCGCTCATATGACAGCGTGCATGCATGTGTGTATATGTGTGTGCTGCTGTATGTGACTTATGTTTTATAGTGCTGCTTGTACCATGCCCAGAAGCAAGAATACCCATATTTTAAGGCCAGTCCTTGTTGTATGACGCTGCCAGGCGGGACCAACAAGCATCATATTTTAACATCTTTTGGTATGGCGCTGTCGGGGATCGAACCCGCGACCTTCCGCTCTCCGGGCGGACGCTCTAACCACTACACCACGGAGGCAGTCCCACGGAGGTGGTCACAAATATACTAGTGCTCACATGCCAAGAAGGAAATACTTGAGCACTGTAAATAACCACCAGTTACATAAGCATTGTGTAATCAAAGTATTGAGTAACCTGGTTGGCTAGATAATTAGGTGTGTAGGTCAGGGGACTCTTACCAGCTTATTTACACTGTTTGGCACAGAGCCAACAAGAACTCTTGATTGTCCCCCCTTGTCTGATAAACCAATCACACATGTAATTTACAATCATAGTCTGCCAATTATACTCGAAATCTGGGAGAGTTTTATGGAACAGTGTATTTATTTTCAAATACCTTTGCATCATGCTGCCTAAAGAGTGTATATATACACATGCAACTGGCAGGTCCTACATGGATATCACTAAGCACATACATGGGGCTATACCTGTCACTCATACAATATGGCAAATGAGATTAACACCTTCCAATACCTAAAACAAACCCTTGTTAAGCAAATGTCAATATAATTTGTTTTGGTTGTATAAGGTCAGATAAACTGGTTAGTATGCAATAGTTATGGGAAAGTTACCTACACAGAAATCTCTACGTAAAGTTTGAGTTAAGTGCATACATGAATCCTGGTCTGTTAATGTCATGCATCTGTTAGCTGAACACACTCGGTTTATACTGACCACAGGAGGGGGTAGAGGTCTGGGATCCGCCTTCATCACCCCCATGGTACCAGGGGTACAGTGGAGGAGGCGGTACACATGTTCCACGATGCCGAGGCCGCGCACGAGGTTGTCCCGCTGCAGCAGCCCGCTGATTCTCTCCAGCTCCTCCTCCTCCCTGATCTCCATCGGCTTGGACGTGTCGATGACCTCCTCCTGCTGCAGTCTGCTGTCACTGCCCTGAACACAGACATGTTCCCAGTCATGTACAACTTTAAAACTGATGTCACAGATGCTTTCAAAAATTCTTTTCTTTAATGCCTGTTAACACTCATCACAATGTAACAATTTACCCATTTACAAATGCATAAAATTAATCAGGGTTTTTGTGTGAATGCCAGGCTATGTAATCTTTATATAGTTTAACAGTTGTGTGTGTCTATCAGTGACATCATACGGAGGACAAGTGTTTCCCACTAGTAGGTAGCAAACTTAAAACAACTATAAGGGCAACTGATAACAATATCTCCTGCAAACACCTTAAATCTGTATCCTCTTGAACAAAGTAACTGATCAGAACACTGCTAGTCTTCGCTTCACATAATTATGATCATAATAGTGAGGAAATGACTGTGCTAGCTGACCCAAATCTTTTATCTTGATAGCAATCCAATGAAAGCTGATATGATATTTAAGACCAGACCAGACAAAACACTACACTATTTGGCCTAAACAGTCTTCCCAAACCCAGCCTATCTGCGCAGTGATGAAGACCTTAATGGCTAGACATATGTCACACACATTTCCACTGCATGAGAGGACTGCAGCTCATACAAGACATACCTCTAAATCTGTTTTAGAAGAGCTTAGTCTGTGTGTTGGCATGGTGGATCGACGTAAGGTGCGACGTTTCCGACTGGTTGGAGACTCTGGCCTGAGTACACTGCCATCTTTCTTCTTCCCTCCCTTGATCATAGACTCCATCTTCTCCTTCTTCCTGATGATCTCCTCTCTTTGCTGTCTGTAACACAATAAGGAGGGTTCAAACTCCCATCATTCTTGATCCACAACAACAGCAGCAGCAGCAGCAACAACATTGTCCTGACCCTACATGTAAGTCATCAGACATCAGATGGCATTTCCTACCTCGCCAGCTCAGCTCGAGCCCTGAATGCTGCTGTCTCCTGGAAGAGGGTGCCACTGCTGTGGAAGAACTTGTCGTACTTGTCACAGCCTGGACCGGGATAGATCCTCCGGAAGTTGCCCATATGAGTGTTCTCATAGCGTTCTTGCTGCTCAATAAACTGGGCCTGAGCCTGCTCAAGCTCTTCCCTGTAGAACACAAAAGTAATGTAGCAGGAAACAAGGAAGTCCTTCCTGTCTGATGGGAACAGGGTCCACAACATTCATACATTAAATATCAAACCATCAAAGATCGTAACAAACTGAATGTTTCCTGCTGAAACATATCTGAGGTCCATTTTAACATGTATCAACACTGCCAAGCCATAGAAAAAGTTACTGTTTCTATACCATTACTTCATGTTTGCCTGAAGCCATTCAGGAACACTTAAACATCCCTGTGGAACTGAGTAGAAGACATCAGGCTTCAACTGAATTTGATTGGAATGGGGTTTAACATGGCTTTCAAAATTACTGCACTTACATAGCCACAAACCTTTTTAGTATGTGTGCATGGGTGACTGCTCTTTCAGTCATCCTCAGTAATCCATGTGTTATAGTGGAGCATATGCTTAACATTATACCTTACAAAGACAAAGTACGTTGACTCTTAGCTAACCAATCCTGGTTTTACTGCCCTAATGCTGAGCACCAGGAAGTACCATGATGCAAGACTGAGGATAAAGGAGTAATAATGAATCCTGCATGGTGTGGGTGCAATGTAATGAGTGTCTCCACTGATCTACCCACTTGGTTTCCTTCTTTGTGTATTTGCCCAGCAGCCTGTCCTTGATCTTCTTCTTCTCTTCCTCAATGCAGCGCGCCTCCGGTCACACGCTCCACAGTTGATGAGGTTGAGTGTGTCGTACACTAGCGTGCCCTTGATCTCTCGGTCAAGATCTGCATCAGTGGTGAAGCTGGGAGAGTGATTCACCTGAAGTGTGAAAGATCAATAATATTGGTGCTTAAAAATTGTATCTTATACACAGTGTTAAGTCTATCAAATGCTCCCGAACTATAACAGCTTATAAGACATCAAAAGAGTTCATTACAGATATTATACTGTTAAAAACAGGGCAAGTTTCAAACTTGTTTTATTCTAATGGTGATAACAATAAGATATTCAATATTCATAAGGGCCCTGTAGGGTAGGTCTCACTAAACAAAACGAGTTTTTGGTTTGGTAAAATATTTTATTGAAATATTGTTACAACTGTCGTAGGTATTTTAAAATGGACATTTTAATGCTTATATGTATCCCAAGGAGGGCTTCTTCTGATAAAGAATTGATATTTGCTTCATGAAGGGTGCACATATTGTGATGCTTGTCTTTGATCACAGCATGTGCATGTCTTAAATCAATGTATATAAACGGCTATATGAAAGTTAAATATCATAGGTGTTGCAATACTTTTTTCCATGTATATATATTGTACTTTCTCACCTCCAGTATCTGCGGCCTCAATTTCCTGTCCAGCAGAATGTCCACACCTAGGATCTCGAAACATGCACTGCCCTTGACATGGTTGGGGAAGCATGTGCGATAGTTGTGCTTCAGTACAGAGTGAGCTGAGATCACAGTCTTGATGATGACATCATCAATGTCATTCCACATCTTGTCTACATCATACCCCTTCTCTCTCATGTAGCGGTTTATGGTGGATATAAGCCTGGACATACAGCAAAGTGGTATAGAGCATAGCTGCTTAATTATCAGCCTGGTAAGGTTTAAAAAGAATTAAAAACGATACAATTATAGGAATGAAGGGCACAAGCATCATGTGATCAAAGGCGGACCAATCAAAGGATCACAGCATCATAATGATGTTACATAAACACGGCCATCAATTCCACCCACCTCTTACTTCCAGCTTCATCGTCCCTAACAAAGTCAGTACTGTGCTTGTTGATGGCGTAGTTGGTCAGGTGCATGTACACATTATCCTGAAATACAATCAGCATCAACACTTAGCAATGTCATCTGTGTTTATGAGTTTAGGGCATATGGTGCATATGAATTTTGCAATAAGTTATGAAATCTGATACTGACATCTACACTTCATACACTAAATGATCTACTCTATATATACTAAGCTTGTATTTTGGTGTGGAATAAGACATTCAGAGAAAATTCTGAATCATATTGCAAAGAACATGTCTCTGTCAAAAACACATGATATACTGAGATTCACGAAGGGAAGTAACTGTTACTACTCACAGTGTTGCCAGCACTGGGCTCCACGTACTTCTTGGTGGCAAACCTTGCTAGACCGTCTTTGAACACAAATATCCTCAGAGGGTCACATGATGTTATTAACGTGTAGATTCGGAAATCAAATTTGAATCCATCTATCAAGAATGGCTGAAAGAAAGAAAGAAATATGTGATAAAATCCCTTTTAACACCAAACAGAAAAGCATAAATAATATGAATCACCTGATCAGCATTTCTATCAACCATAAACTATTGGATTGGATAGCTGTGGATCTACACCCACATTGTACTTCTATTACATTATTCTGCTGATGGCTGCACATGATCATGATACCAGACAACAGAGAGGTGTATAAAGCAATAAGTCAGATGTAGTAGTCAGATATATCAAAAGGAATAGACTTGAAGAAAGAATTCAGTTAATAAATACATGTTGGCACCTTATTGAGGTAGACTTGACATATCATATGTTCGTGGGGTTTGATTTCCTTGGGGTTCTTGGTAACCCAGATTCCTCGACCTTGACATCCAGACTCTGGCTTCAGGATGTAGGACTTGTTCTTCTTCTGCCTTGTGTAGGCTTGGAAATCTCCATAACTGCACACCAAATACAGCAGAGGGTGAATCAGGATGAACCAGTCATGGTAAGAATGGTGATTAGCAGCCAAGATGGCAGCACATACTTAAGCACCCTTGGACATGAAAACGGTAAGATGAAATTGGAAGTTTTAGACAATTTAGTATATGTTCAAAAGAACTAGTAAAGACACAAATGTGCCATCGTTTCCCTCCACTTATACAATTTCACAACATCTGTGTCAAAAACATTATTAAGAAAAGACAAACTGCACATTAGCCCTCTACAGTCCCTGTATTGACAACATACTGACAAAAAAGGTGTATACACCATGTACATACTCAGCAGGAAGGCACCATGTTTTAGGGAAGACATTGTACTCCTTAGGGAACATCTTGAGCATTCGGTTGAGGTTTCGAGACAGCAAATCCTTCCGACAAATCTCATTCATTCCTGGGAAGTGATTGATTTTCTGAAGATAAACAATAAGTTACTGGGTGCTGTGCACAGCATCATCTAAAGGCAATAGTGGACATGTCGCAAAGTAGCAATGATGTAGAGTCTATGTGGGACTAGTCCTGCCAGATATTCTCTGCTAACCTGATACTTCTTCATGTCCATGACCCTTTCCAGTGCCACAGAGTAGTCTGTCCAGTACAGTGACCAGTCATCATCATCAGACACCTCCTTGAAGCCAAACCTCCGGGATGTCCGGCGAACTGAAGGATAAATAATACACTCCCAAAATTGGTGTACCAAGTTTATTTAGAAAACATTCAACACAATGACATCAAAAGTACCTTCTGTCACTCCCAGAAGAGGGAGTTGGGGTAGCCAAGTGGTTGAAGCCTTCGCTCATCATGCCGAAGGCCCGGGTTTGATTCCCCACATGGGTACAATGCATGAAGTCTATTTCTGGTGGTCTTCCGCTGTGATATTGCTGGAATATTGCTAAAAAGCGGCATAAAACATGACTCACTTACTATCCTGAAGACTAATAAGCATAGCTAATCCTGTTCAAGTAACTTCCCCAAACAGAAGGTACTTACCAACATCATACTTGCAGTTGGTGAGACAGATGTACAGCAATCTACAAGAAAACAATTCAGTGTCATTCCAGGTACAGACATAGCACACACAGCTAATGCCCTTGTAATAGTGTATCAGATTGAAGCATAAGCAGTTGACATTCTGATAATCTCTAGATAATATGGGAAAGAAGATATATTTCTCTTAAAATGGCAGCTATCAACTTTTATAATCTCTATATTAACAAGATGCGGTGGGCGAGCTGGCTAAAGCGCCAGGCTAGTGATCCAGCAATGTTGAGGTGTCGGGATCGAACCCACCTGTGACCGGGTGTACAAATCTTGGAGTCAACATTGTGTGCAGACTCTTTCTGTGTTGTCACAACCCCTAGTGTACAGTACACAACCCTGTGCACTTAAAAGAACCCATGAATCCGTTGGTATATGACCAGATGGTGGCCACATGAATACGTACAAACACCTAGTTGCGGGTACAGCAACGTGCAGTGAACTTGGACAAAGTACTGTGACTATGTGTGTCCCAGTCCACCCAGCTGTGAGTGGGTACCTTGTTAGGATGAGCAAGCCGCAAAAATCCAGTGCGCCTAGTGGCTGCAAGAGTTGTATACTCCACAAGGAGTTAAGTTGCTGCAAGAGTTGTATACTCCACAAGGAGTTGAGATTGATAACAAAACCATGTACCGCTTGAGATTAAACTAGTCCATATGTGCGCTGATCTATAATAATGAGGAATCAAAACCCAGCCTTGAGCAAACACTAGTTGAAATCAATGATCGAGGAATCAAAACCAGCCTTGATATGTATGCGCTATATAAATATCCTATAATAATAAAAAAGACCAGTGTTCCAGGTGAGAAGTGATCTGTAGCAACCTATACTGTCATTAGGTGACTTAATGAATCTGGTAGTCAGGGACAGTGGTTGGTGGTGTCTCATTGTACCCAGCTGAATGGAACAATGCCCAGTGGTCCAGGTGAGAAGTGATCTGTAGCAACCTATACTGTCATTAGGTGACTTAATGAATCTGGTAGTCAGGGACAGTGGTTGGTGGTGTCTCATTGTACCCAGCTGAATGGAACAATGCCCAGTGGTCCAGGTGAGAAGTGATCTGTAGCAACCTATACTGTCATTAGGTGACTTAATGAATCTGGTAGTCAGGGACAGTGGTTGGTGGTGTCTCATTGTACCCAGCTGAATGGAACAATGCCCAGTGGTCCAGGTGAGAAGTGATCTGTAGCAACCTATACTGTCATTAGGTGACTTAATGAATCTGGTAGTCAGGGACAGTGGTTGGTGGTGTCTCATTGTACCCAGCTGAATGGAACAATGCCCAGTGGTCCAGGTGAGAAGTGATCTGTAGCAACCTATACTGTCATTAGGTGACTTAATGAATCTGGTAGTCAGGGACAGTGGTTGGTGGTGTCTCATTGTACCCAGCTGAATGGAACAATGCCCAGTGGTCCAGGTGAGAAGTGATCTGTAGCAACCTATACTGTCATTAGGTGACTTAATGAATCTGGTAGTCAGGGACAGTGGTTGGTGGTGTCTCATTGTACCCAGCTGAATGGAACAATGCCCAGTGGTCCAGGTGAGAACTGCTCTGTAGCAACCTATACTGTCATTAGGTGACTTAATGAATCTGGTAGCCAGGGACACTGGTGTCTCATTGCACCCAGCTGAATGGAACAATGCCCCGTGGTTTACAGTCTGCCATCATGTAGCTGGAACACTGATGAATGTGTTTCAACAAACCAGATCAATATAACTTTCAAACATTCGGATAATCTGGATGCACAAAACCCTGAATGGATACTAAGGAAATAGCCCCAAACACTTCCGAACACACTGAAGCAAGGAATGTGGTGATTGTGTGTTTTCCTGCTGTGTGAGACACACCCTGATGATTATTAACTATGCCAATCTCACCTAATCACATTTACATTTGATAAATTTAAAAACAGTCACAGTAGAAATCTATGTCACTTTATAACATCATCTTTTCAAAAACCTGCTTGAAAGTACACTGTCAGAATTCTTTCAAAGAACAAGCTCAGTAAATAAGAAATTAAAGACCTTTAACTATTGAATATTATTAAAAACAAATTGCTGAACTAGTTAAGAGGGCTTAGAAAAAATATTTTCAACCACTAATAGTAATGTTTGGTAATTAATATAATTATGTAAATGCAAATTTTGACAATGATAATCTTCCCAAAGAATATTTTTCTAAGCACGCTCAACTTGGAAACAGACAGAAATGTGTAGATTCTGGCATGCTGGAGGTTCCAAATCACACTGAAATGTTCCACATCAGTACTGTTGTAGCCACATGTTCCTAAGGCAAATGTCATCCTTGACATTTGATCATTATTTCTATTATGTGAGAACAAAGGCAACTGAACAATTCCGTCTGATATAGTTTCTTTATTCCACCATAATGAGACAAAAGGTTCGTTTGAACCATTTTTAAACCTATCACTGACTTTTGTTTTGGACATTTCTTATTATACTTTTATATTTTTTCGTAAGATTTTGTTTGGAGTTAAGTAATTCGAAAGTCTAATGTTTAAAAACTGAAGATATAAAGAAATGAAACTTTTCATTATGGATGATGAGAATGGAACCCACAACCTAAGATCTGTAATCATGCTCTCTAACTGTAACTATTTGCCCACTGGTTGAAGTTTTCAGGTTCAGTAATTTAAGAGGCCAGATGTCGTTTACTCCATCAGTTTTATTAGCTCTGTCACTGCTTCCAACAGGATTTACAATGTCAATCAAAACCAGTCATGTTTTGTCTCTTACTTAAAAAGCCAAACATCTTGTATATTGATGCCTATATCTTATGATTGATAGACCCCTCTACACTGATATGACTTGATAGTCAATAATTAACTATCACATCAGATTAAGACTTTTATTAATGTCAGCTCAAGTCCTAAGCGTGTGATCCTACTGAAAGTCACAGTGTGTGAATACTGGGATCATGCCCACGTAGCCAAGAGACACAATGGGGTATAGATTACACGTACACATATCCATTGATGATCTCACCCTGTACCATAATTACTTGAAAAGAATGAGATCTACTTTCAAGGTACATAGACACATGGAACACTAACATTCATGGGCCTCTTCAAGGCATTTTAGGGCTTTTATCTGTCATTTTCAAGGGTTTTCAGTAGGGTTACTAGCCTTAGGCTGACACTACTTCCTTAAACATCCAGTATGCTATATTATTAATATTCAAGCCTGTACGAGCCTTGCCTCAGAATGATCTATAAATGAATCAAAAATTCTGTAATATGAATACATGAATGAAAAGAAAAATATTTGTCATATTATGCATTACTGTATATCAGGGAATACTCTGTACTCGCATTATAAATTTGGTGTTCTCTATTTCAATAAGGGCTTACAGGGATTTCATGAAATCACTGAGCTAATATTTCAGTAATTTCATGAAATCCCTGGGGATCATATGGGGTCAGGGATTTCATGAAATCACTGACTCTTTCAGGGATTACCTGAAATCCCTGGTTTCACACATTCCCTGTAACATATATATGTTAAACGAAGGATTCAAATAGTTGAGAACATTGACATGTATACCACCTGTTGTCTCCAACACAGATTCACCACAGCAACCACTGAAACCTAATGAATTATTCAGCCTATTTTTTCAATCTCCATGTTTCTGTGCACCAAGCCAGATGACTTATCAGCTCTATTGTTTTTCCTTGCTAGTGTTAATTAAAAGTTGAGATTCAGGGAATGAAATTTAGACCTACTCTAGTTCCGTGATTACCATTAACACATACTTGATTAAACCGATCTTTTGCAGTGTTACAATGAAGTGTGGTTGAAGGAGAGCTTGGACAGGGCAGAGAGAGGAGGGTCTGAGGTGCTTAAGATTGGCCATTGTAATACTTTTGAAGCAGGAACTCCATTAATCTTCAATTTCTAAATCAAACTATGAACTGTGACTTTCACATCTTTGACTTTTATCCCTATTTTGAAATTGAGGAAATACATTAACAAAATGTGAGACTTGTCATCTTGAGTGAGTGAGTGAGTTTATTTTTTATGCTGCTTTTAGCAATATTCCAGCTATAACACGGCAGGGGACACCAGAAAAATGGGCTTCACACATTGTACCCATGTGGGGAATCAAACCCAGGCCTTTGGTGTGATGAGCGGAAGCATTAACCACCAGGCTACCCCACTGCCCCTGTCATCTGGAATATTCCTACTATTTTGTACATGTTTCCAAGCAACTTATGTAAAAGTGACTGCTATGTTTATAAGTATGATGGACATGAGCCTGTGATCTGTGACATACACTATGACATAAGCCTGTGATCTGTGACATACACTATGACATGAGCCTGTGATCTGTGATATACACTATGACATGAGCCTGTGATCTGTGACATACACTATGACATGAGCCTGTGATCTGTGACATACACTATGACATGAGCCTGTGATCTGTGACATACACTATGACATGAGCCTGTGATCTGTGACATACACTATGACATGAGCCTGTGATCTGTGATATACACTATGACATGAGCCTGTGATCTGTGATATACACTATGACATGAGCCTCTGATCTGTGACATACACTATGACATGAGCCTGTGATCTGTGACATACACTATGACATGAGCCTGTGATCTGTGACATACACTATGACATGAGCCTGTGATCTGTGATATACACTATGACATGAGCCTGTGATCTGTGATATACACTATGACATGAGCCTGTGATCTGTGACATACACTATGACATGAGCCTGTGATCTGTGACATACTCTATGACATGAGCCTGTGATCTGTGATATACACTATGACATGAGCCTGTGATCTGTGATATACACTATGACATGAGCCTGTGATATACACTATGACATAAGCCTGTGATCTGTGACATACACTATGACATGAGCCTGTGATCTGTGACATACAATATGACATGAGCCTGTGATCTGTGACATACACTATGACATGAGCCTGTGATCTGTGACATACACTATGACATGAGCCTGTGATCTGTGACATACACTATGACATAAGCCTCTGATCTGTGACATACACTATGACATGAGCCTGTGATCTGTGACATACACTATGACATGAGCCTGTGATCTGTGACAAACACTATGAGATGAGCCTGTGATCTGTGACATACACTATGACATGAGCCTATGATCTGTGACATATACTATGTTCAACATGTTCATGGAGCAAACTTTCAAACTCCTCTCTAGACCTGCTTCATGATTCTGACAGCACTGTTATCAACTATAATAACATATACATATGAAATAATCTGTCCATAGATAATATCACTGATCTCAAATAAGACATTTAAATTTCAACCCAGACACTCAATAACAATGACTAATATTTATGTTTTGCTGCGAATGGTTTCAAAGGAACATAATACTCAATGTTTGAGCTAATCAGTTATGTCAGATTATATAAATATGCATATGACATAGTTGAGAATCATTTTTGTGTATCAAGGAAAAATTAAATGATCCCTTTCAAAGATGGAAGAGTACATTACAAAACTATACACAAATATAACCCACAACAACGCCAAACAGTTAGTGTCTGATCTTACAAGTGTGAGGATCTCCGTGAAACAGATTACTTTATGAAAGCCTCTAACCCAAAGTACTAAGTACAGGTTAAACATACAATCTCCTAGATAACATCTCATGTTTCAGGTAGGTGGGGGACTCCTCCTGTGTTAACAGGAATGTCCACAGGCCTGAAACATACAAAAAGTCTCAACAGTGTAGGAGATAGCCCGTCCCAACGTCCGATGGTGAATTTTGGTAGGTGGGGATCTCCTCCTCATGTGGGTCAATTTTAGCAAACCAATGTCCATATAGGCCTTTTGAATATTTACTGCGAAGGTGGAGAAGGACAGGCTAGATTTTGGCAGGACTGGTAAAATATTTGACCTGCCAACAAAAACATCTTTCCTACAAAAAAGTCTGATTACAATCTAATTAATTATTTATCTTTACGTTAATCAGGTTGATGTGTTTTGTATAGAAATCAAACACATGGTTAGAATTATTTCTGGGTGTCAACCAGTTCATATATTTAGGTTTGTTGCCCAGTTCATATCAAATATTTGTTTAACAATATACATGTATTCCTATTTCACATGTAATCAGTTTTAACAATTGCAAATCAATTTATTTCTCTTCAGGCCAGAGCAAACTATTTACTTGATTAATAAATGATAACTTTGCCTGACAATCTGCAAATGTAAAAGAAATAAGTAAATTCAGCATTTGACATGTTTGATTGATAACTCCAAATACAGTCTTTGAACATCATTTTCATATTATTTCAAATGTAGCTATTTCATGAGCTAATTAAGGGAATTAATTCATATTATATTTGTTGTCTACATTACTATCTCTTAATTACTGATATTACATTATTTAGGCTTTTGTCCCTTGCATATTTTACAAGTAATGGGTAAAGAAGTTAAATGGACATCCCTTATGAAACTTCTTAACCATAGTTTCCTTCCCCTCGACAGCCATACAACCAGATCCATTCCCAAACATGCAACATATCCCAACTAATACCATCAGCACCTCGTTCAATCAATCATGTGGTATCTCAGCCCTACCCCACTTGAAACTACCTGGCTATCAACACAACACCCATAATATACAGTAAATCAATACTGAAACTCATCTCAGCTGGCAAATCAGTTGGTAGGGGACAAAATATTTATTGTATCCTGGCGAAACTGAAGACCACCCTTGACATGTAACTCATTTATCTGTTATTAGCTTCAACATTGGCAGATGGTAACAACATATGATTGGCAGAAGACAAACATAGTGAATGGTCATGAACAATATTTGTTTTATACCTTGACGCCAGTGTCAAATAAATGCAAACATAAAGTCAAATATTATATTGATTTCGAAGGGTAGGACCATACATCTTGCATAATGGATTGGGGAGTTTGCCAAACTAGGGGAAAATATTTTCTTGCTATGGGATATCAAATTTTCTGATTTTGGCTATAAAGAGATGAGATTTCTACTAGGCTTCACTGTTACTACATGTATTATGTTAACATGATATTCAGCTTTAAAACATACTTGTAAGAGAAACATAAACTAGATTTCACTACATTCATCAATGACAAAATGAAGATTTAATATATGATACTGGATATGTACATTTATGCAAATGAAAACTTTGCAATTCTGGTAAAACAAGGAAAAACAGCCAATTCCAATAAAACTATCCCGTCATGCCCCAGTTTCTAGATCCCAGCCATCTTGAACCATCATTACAGAGAGGATCTTTTACCATTGTCACAACCACCAGGTAGATTGGTTACTCAGTTAATGCTTTCTGCTACACTGACCTGCAACAATGCCTGAAACATTACCAGTGTAAAGTGTAAAGAAACTCGGACTAAATAGAGGGATTACGTTCCATATATTCCAACATACCAGTAACGTGACTGCTGTAGCAAGGGGAGACCTATTGTAACTGTACTGCACACACGATATAGAGATTCAGTACTGTCATGGCTTAAACCGGGCTGATAAAAGGTTATTGATGTCAAAACTGGTCTCATATGCCACCATAGGAACATGGCAATGTTTCTATTGACACAGAAATTGTGCCTTAACCATATGTTAACATTACAAGTTTGAATCCACATGTAATAAAGTTTAGCAGAGTGCATGCCTGTAACATTGAGGCTATAGTCAGAGTCATGACTTTATTGCCCTGATCAAATGGGGTGTATATATATGACACATGTTGTCGTGTTCAAGGAGATTCTCATACTGTAATGTCAAACTGGTCTTGACCCTGGATTTGCTTCAAGCTTCTACGTGTTATAAACACTGTACATGACCGAGTCAGAACACAAGTGGTTCAGAGCCTCTACTTTGTAGAATATGTTAACCTATTTCAAGTAGACACTATGTCAAAGTAGATTGTTTCAGGTAAACACACCACCTCTACAGTTAAAGCAGTACAGCTAAATGCCATGACAGTAGAGATCCCACTAGCCTCAAGATAACCTACAGCAGCTGAAAACATTTTTTCAAACCCTATCAAAGTTTCTGTTGGATAATATCACCAACATCAAATTCCATAGTAGGAAGAATGAAACACACAGATGGCCACCTTCCTGGCAATGCTCAAAGTCAGATCAGAACCCAAACAAGAGATACTTAAAGGCACAATTGTTTGAGTGGGTGATAATGCAAAAGTCTGTGGTTGATGGAGGGAATGTGAAAAACAGGAATTAACATTTTCTGTGAGCTTGAATGTATGTTTTTGTTTTTATAAATATGGTTTCAACTTTGTCTTAAATGAAACTTACAACCTTAAAATATAATAGTCAGTCCTAATGATGATAGTGAAATGTCTGTCTAGCTCTCAATATCAAGACTGGACCAAGCTGGCAACATTAACTCAGTTATAAACACAAAGCTCTCCCATATGAGTGAGGATAATAGACTGGGTGTCATGAACACATCCTACCTGTGAACATCCTACATAGCAAGATGATGACAATACATGTAAACACGGGATATACACAGTGGTTTATCTGACAGCTGCCTCTTATCTACAGTGCCATATCAATGTAATGTAAGTTCCATACATTAACTGGAACAACATGAAACATCAAGTGCTGTCTAAATGAGGTGTTCCACTTTAAAATGTCACCATGGTAACAGCAGGACATGCTCTAAAAAAAGCAACTGACTGGAACAATAATTGTAACCTAAGTAAAAGACAACAATATCTACTGGATATATATTCAATGGAAAACACTGGCAAAGTGTTACCAAATTCCCGATTATTCAGTGACCTAGAACAACTATTGACTGCTTGCCTGACCCAGGGGGCAGTGTGCCAGGTACCTTCCAATTAACCTGTCCCTACTAGGTCAAGGCTACCACTGAAGCAATGTAATTATGTACTGGGTTATGACTACCTCCCCGAAGACTACCCAGCCAGTCAGCCATGGAGTAGAATGTAATGTTTTACCCAGTCTGTGACTTTATCTGTTAGTCTGAAGCACCTGTCTCGTAATATAGGGAATACAATCAGCTTGTACTTGTCCACATACTAAAACTAACATAATGCCCAAATACAAGTTCGGGCCAGAAACGAAACTCTAAGGTTTTGAAACAAATTGCTTACCGTTTCTTCTTTTTCTTCTTCTTCTTTTTATCCTGGATGTCCTTCTTTGAGGTGATATCAGGGGGTGGTTTCCACAACACTCTCTCTACCCTCACCTTCACCTTCACCCTCACCCTCGCCTTCATACTCATATCCCACATCTGTAAAGATAAAATAGGAATTAAAAATAATCTTACTGATCAGGAGTTTTCTGGATTGTTTTACACATAATGTCTCCCAAAATAATTAAAACCTATCTATTTCACATTTACTGGAAACGAAGTAATGGATTGCAGTGAAATCATCCAATTGTAATATAAAAATATCATGTTCACTTTCCTACATTAAACATTCAAGCTTTTTATAATCACACATAACATCTTTGGCTGCTATCTCTCAACAACACAACCACTCACCTTTGTTCATACTACCTACCTTGTTCCTCTCAATCCTCAGTGTTTGCCCAACATGGCTAATGTCCTACTAAGCAACCTTAGTACTACCATATCAACCCAACTTTCTTACAAGAACCAGTGTTCAACATAATATATGGCTGTCAATGGGTCCTTGTCATAACCCTGAAATATTCACCACATCCTAATATTAAAATGCTACAAGATCCCCTTTACTTGTACCCTTGTAAGGTCAGAGAATATTCAAGGCAACACTTACCCTGGTCTGCCTCCCCATCAAGCTCCTGGTGGATCAAAACTGGGGAGTCATCATCCACTAGGGTTAGCTCTTGGCCACTGGTGCCACCGAATCCCGAGTCCACATTGTCCTCGGTATCACTGGCCTCTGACTCGGAGCTGCTGCTGTCACTGCTGCTGATGACAAGGTCGTCCTCCAGATCATCCGCCAACTGGTCTGGGTCTCCATCCCTGTCACTCCTGTTCATTGCAACCTTATACCGTCCACTGGATTCTACAAACAGACACAACCCATCATTACAACCTTGTACTGTCCACTGGATTCTACAAACAGACACAACCTATCATAACAACCTTATACCGTCCACTGGATTCTACAAACAGACACAACCTATCATAACAACCTTATACCGTCCACTGGATTCTACAAACAGACAAAACCTATCATAACAACCTTGTACTGCCCACTGGATTCTACAAACAGACACAACCTATCATAACAACCTTGTACTGCCCACTGGATTCTACAAACAGACACAACCTATCATAACAACCTTATACCGTCCACTGGATTCTACAAACAGACACAACCCTATCATAACAACCTTGTACTGCCCACTGGATTCTACAAACAGACACAACCTATCATAACAACCTTATACCGTCCACTGGATTCTACAAACAGACACAACCTATCATAACAACCTTATACCGTCCACTGGATTCTACAAACAGACACAACCTATCATAACAACCTTGTACTGTCCACTGGATTCTACAAACAGACACAACCTATCATAACAACCTTGTACTGCCCACTGGATTCTACAAACAGACACAACCTATCATAACAACCTTATACCGTCCACTGGATTCTACAAACAGACACAACCTATCATAACAACCTATCATAACAACCTTATACCGTCCACTGGATTCTACAAACAGACACAACCTATCATAACAACCTTATACCGTCCACTGGATTCTACAAACAGACACAACCTATCATAACAACCTTATACTGTACACTGGATTCTACAAACAGACACAACCTATCATAACAACCTTATACCATCCACTGGATTCTACAAACAGACACAACCTATCATAACAACCTTATACTGTCCACTGGATTCTACAAACAGACACAACCTATCATAACAACCTTGTACTGCCCACTGGATTCTACAAACAGACACAACCTATCATAACAACCTTATACTGTCCACTGGATTCTACAAACAGACACAACCTATCATAACAACCTTATACCGTCCACTGGATTCTACAAACAGACACAACCTATCATAACAACCTTATACCGTCCACTGGATTCTACAAACAGACACAACCTATCATAACAACCTTATACCGTCCACTCCACTGGATTCTACAAACAGACATAGCCTATCATAACAACCTTATACTTTCCACTGGATTCTACAAACAGACACAACCTATCATAACAACCTTGTACTGCCCACTAGATTCTACAAACAGACACAACCTATCATAACAACCTTATACCGTCCACTGGATTCTACAAACAGACACAACCTATCATAACAACCTTATACCGTCCACTGGATTCTACAAACAGACACAACCTATCATAACAACCTTGTACTGCCCACTAGATTCTACAAACAGACATAACCTATCATAACAACCTTATACTGTCCACTGGATTCTACAATCAGACACAACCTATCATAACAACCTTATACCATCCACTGGATTCTACAAACAGACACAACCTATCATAACAACCTTGTACTGCCCACTAGATTCTAAAACAGACACAACCTACTACTGAAACCCTGTACCACCCGATGGATTCAGTAAAAGACACAACCTATCATTGCAACCTTTTACTGGCCACTGCATTCTGCAAAACAGACACAACCTATCATTATAACCATATACCACCAATGGAATTAGCAAAAGACACAACCTAACATTACAACCTTATACTACCCATATAATTCTACATATATTAACAGACACAACCTATCATTACAACCTTATACCGTCCAATGGATTCAGCAAAAGACACAACTGATCATTGCAACCTTTCACTGTTCATTGGATTCTGCAAATCAAACACTATCCCAACAAGTCTCATACACAAGCTCCCAATAAACATCAGTAACTGGTACTTTTGATTTAATACTTTTAACATAAACAGGTCTTGCCACAAATAACTGAGATATGACAATCACTGTTCATTGATGTCCATCACTGCTGTATAAGATTTCTCAGAATTGACTGGGTGACATTTACCCCTCTTATCACAAAGCGTATAATGAATTACAAATCAACAACCATACTGACAAGCTGTCACAGGGGTGAATCAAACCTTCACCCTGGCCCACCCAGCAGATTGACTTTTACCTCTCAAAGCATCAATTATTCAATCTCCTTAAACATCTTAAACCATCAGCATCTTCCACGCCCCCTTCACTATGTCCCAACTACCACATACTGTGTCCTGTATGGACTGGTAACTTGCTGTACCTGCTACATTCAGAGATAACTTCATTCAAACTGATCACAATGTACTGGATCAACATGAACAACTGCTAATTTGTTTTTAAATGTCACTGTGCCCATTACCAACATGGTAAACAGCTTCTGAGAGTAATTGGATCATGAAATATTCACACTAAGAAGAAAGATTCATGTAAAGAAGGACTGTCAGTGATCAGTACCACGTGCCCTCCACCATGTATGTAATGTAAAGGGCCATACTATAACAGTGTGCAATACACACAAATATCTCATCATCAAGTGTTATGTTAACGCTTTTGTACACAGTTATTGCATTCACGCTCCACACTTAGTCAGTTTGGTTCAATGACACTTTAAATACTATGTCAGCTTTTACAAAGCAAGTAAGCTTGATGTTTGAGGAAAGCAATAATGCATGTTTTAGAAAATTACTTAAAACCTGTTTGCCAGATATAATTTTCTGTCTCTGATTCATTAATTTAATGTGAAAGTAAAATATTACAATTAATATTAACATTCTTCCATGACAATGATAAATTTATAACAAAAGTATTTACAAGACATTGACTATTCGTTCAACAATATTTTTGGAGTAATGTATGTATAATGGTATGTATAACTGTTTCTTTTTTAGACTGATAGGAGAACCTGATCAGGTAGTCCTACTGTATGTTTACCTTTATCATGTCCATCATCAGTTCAAATAGACAAAGGATAAGATTTGATTGAAATTTCAAGGGTTCTTTGGGTATTACATTTTCAACATCAGGTTCATGATAATTATAATACAAAACCAAACTCAAGATAGTCATGATAATTCCCAAGCCTTATTTCAAACAATGTAAAGAATTAAAGTTCAGTTATTACTTTATTATCAATCATGATAATAACATTCTTATCAATATCATGTTTGAAAATCTAATTAGGGTTCACAACTTGACAAGCAGTATAGAGAAACAGGCGACCTTCAAATCAGTACAAGGTATATTTAAACATGGCAGATTGAATGACATGTCTCCACACCAGCTGAATGGAAACACTCACCTTGATCAGATTACTTTCAGTATTGCGTGATGTGTTTAATCAAATACATACAGGTGATAGTTGGTGTTGAAACCACTAAGGCGTGCTGATTGTTTTAGTAATTACTCTCAACGCCAACACAGTTGCCTTTATCAACACTGTTAGTTTATGTAGCATTACCTGGCACCTATCAAAATAATATTCTGGTACGCCATAAACAAGAATGTACTCAAAAGAATGTTTATTGATTCCTTCAAAGCTAGATAATATTTGTGACTTTATCATGTTGTCAGCATGAAATCACCTAGCCTGTCAGTATGGTAGCAATTGTATAGTACTGCCCAGTCACAGAGAAATGTTATAGATCTTGGATACAAACAAGGACCAACTGTGTATGTAAACAGTAAATCCTCCATAGGTACTCATCATGAGCACAAAATAACGGTCATCCTATAATAAGTTTGAAATTAACCCACACTAGCTTACCATTGTTACCAATTTGACCTTTTCAGAGTTTCATACAATCTTTTATATCTTGCTTTCAATACAAATCAAGGTGGCCATATCATCTACAATATTACAGTACTTGAACACACTACAGAATGTTAAACAGGCATGACCGACAGTTCAGTAAATAGTCTCAATGGCCCTATCTGCCAGGGTAAGTGTGATTTATACATAGCAGTAGAAATACTTAATGTCTCTGATAAGCAAATACTGTGAATCTTACACCTCAGAGTCTGTTGTAATTTACTGTTATTAAGTCAGGTCTATGCTTGCATCTAAGCAAGTATTATTAATAGTAAACTCTATTCCAGTAGACCCAGAGATACGTCTATTATTGCTAGGCAATCTTGTATGGTTGTAGTCAACACCTGAAGCCTTGACAAGGATCAAGCAGATCTTAGGAGACAAAACTAAACACATCTGAAGTACTTTACAAGGGGAAATCTCAGATTAGCGGGACTATATTTGAAGATATATTCACATAATGTACACAAAATCAGTATCATAATACCCTGGTAAAGATGCAACCACCAATGAAGACCACAGCCAAACTCCTCACCTAATAGACATTGCAACAAGAAGGCAGTGGTCAGTATCCACAAAAAGTATGATATACCCTGCAATAACCACTGAAGACCACAGAGATACCTGATACTCACCCTATGGACATGGTACAGTTCCCAACAAGGCAGCAGGTGTTCATTTAATATGAACCCTCTGACCCGGCACCAACGGTCAGACAGAAGTCTACCTGATACTCACCCCAGTGTCTGATGGTACAGTTCCTTTGACTGAAGTTGTTTTAACAAGCTTGTTACAATGTGAATTATAAGAAATATTAAATCTGAAATGTGGGTCAGTGGTCAGTATCTACAATATACCCTGCAATAACCAATGAAGACCACAGAAATACCGGTACTCACCCTATAGACATGGTACAGTTCCCAACAAGGCAGTGGTCAGTATCTACAATATACCTTGCAATAACCAATTAAGACCACAGAAATACCGGTACTCACCCTATAGACATGGTACAGTTCCCAACAAGGCAGTGGTCAGTATCTACAATATACCCTGCAATAACCAATGAAGACCACAGAAATACCGGTACTCACCCTATAGACATGGTACAGTTCCCAACAAGGCAGTGGTCAGTATCTACAATATACCCTGCAATAACCAATGAAGACCACAGAAATACCGGTACTCACCCTATAGACATGGTACAGTTCCCAACAAGGCAGTGGTCAGTATCTACAATATACCCTGCAATAACCAATGAAGACCACAGAAATACCGGTACTCACCCTATAGACATGGTACAGTTCCCAACAAGGCAGTGGTCAGTATCTACAATATACCCTGCAATAACCAATGAAGACCACAGAAATACCGGTACTCACCCTATAGACATGGTACAGTTCCCAACAAGGCAGTGGTCAGTATCTACAATATACCCTGCAATAACCAATGAAGACCACAGAAATACCGGGTACTCACCCTATAGACATGGTACAGTTCCCAACAAGGCAGTGGTCAGTATCTACAATATACCCTGCAATAACCAATGAAGACCACAGAAATACCGGTACTCACCCTATAGACATGGTACAGTTCCCAACAAGGCAGTGGTCAGTATCTACAATATACCCTGCAATAACCAATGAAGACCACAGAAATACCGGTACTCACCCTATAGACATGGTACAGTTCCCAACAAGGCAGTGGTCAGTATCTACAATATACCCTGCAATAACCAATGAAGACCACAGAAATACCGGTACTCACCCTATAGACATGGTACAGTTCCCAACAAGGCAGTGGTCAGTATCTACAATATACCCTGCAATAACCAATGAAGACCACAGAGATACCCGATACTCACCCTATAGACATGGTACAGTTCCCAACAAGGCAGTGGTCATTATCTACAATATACCCTGCAATAACCAATGAAGGCCACAGAAATACCGGTACTCACCAGGGATTTACAGGACGCGGATTCCTGCGTCCTACACGCATAAAAATTGACAATGGACTCAACAAAATTTATTAGCGTGCCCACAGGGACTCAGACAAAGTCCAAATACTTTTTGTAAAAATTCCAATCAAGTGACAATAACTTATCACTGAGTTTACTACTAGCTGGGTTATGGTATTATTTGCAATTTAATTACTGTAACAATGTGATGATCATGATACACAAATACAATAACAGTATTTATAATAATATTTAAGTATCTGGGACCCCATTTTGTTGTCCAGGACCCCTGATAATTTAGAGTATGAGTCCCAGGGACCCTCAAATGCAGGAGTCCATGTAAATCCCTGACTCACCCTATATACATGGTACAGTTCCCAACAAGGCAGTGGTCATTATCTACAATATACCCTGCAATAATCAATGAAGGCCACAGAAATACCGGTACTCACCCTATAGACATGGTACAGTTCCCAACAAGGCAGTGGTCAGTATCCACAATTATGGATGCATCTAGTAGAGCTGATGTGTATTCCACAAGAAATCCTCAATATTTTTCACCTAGTTATAACTTTCTTAGTTTATACTTGATGTTTTAAACCATGTTGGAGATCTGAAACAAAAGAAGATATATAACTTATGAAAGTAGATGAATGATATCCTACACAAATACACATGACAACTCTTACCAGCAGGACAGTCTAAAACCATGCATTTGGACTGGTGCAGCAGCATTATCTAAAATACTTTTGACCATGAATTATTGATGACTCTATTTTTATTAAAGTAAACTTCTTCCACTAGCACAATCACTAGGCAGTTTTAGATGATGAATTTAGTTAAATATTGGTTTAAGATTCCATGGACTAAACATATCCTGAGCAAGTTTTGCAAAACATTTTAAAACAGAAAATTTGAATACAGCAGTTCAATATTATTAACACAGCTTTACCATGGTTAACCTTAATATTACTATATTATGTACAGGGACTTCATGTCCATGACAAGTCACACTGTCAGGTCAGACTCAATTATTTACAGACCGCCACCATATTGCTAGAATATTGCTGAGTGTGGCATTAAACAACAAAAATGGACATTGTTGGCTGGTGGGTATATGCTTGTGTTATCGGCACTCAGCCATGTTCCAGTGACATGATGACAGCGTGTAAATTCTAGGCCAGACAATCAAGTCACTGATATCAGGAACATTGTCCCATGCAGTTGGGGTACGATTAAGTACCAGCATTATGATAATAGTGATGTGCCTTAGCACTAATCATGGCAAGTGTCCCTAAATTTCACCCTTTGCTACAATATTGCTCTTTGCTTAAAGGTTGTCTGCGTTAAAACTAAGAAGACACTCCTCTAGCCAGAGGTCCATGCAGGGAGTCTAGTACTTTCCCCACAGTCCAGTTACATGATGATTTGTCACACCTTGCACAGTTCATTCAAGATATTGCAAATGTTTTCATGTTTCACTTTGTTGAGTCTGCTCACTTAGATAACCATGTCACCAAAGGGTGAACTGTCATTCATAAAATACATAAACAAATATAGTACTATTTCAGTTTGGATAGTATACTGGTTGTACAGCTCCATATGCTGTCATCTAAGCCTTATGGAAAGCATGCAAAAGTGTCACTTTGATGTATAAAGATATACTGTCATCTATCTGACATGGTAACATATCTGTTTTAATGCAGAAAAAGGCTTACATCAGACCAGTCTGTTTTGATTTTAGAATGTCTGTTGGCAAATAAGAGAAAAGTCATGTACTACACAAGTTAGTGGTTAATTAAGAAAATAAATAAGGGGGAAAAAGAACAGTCATCATCGAATGCTAAACATGATGTTCAAATCTTGTGAACTGAAAGCACAGTAGGTTTACCTCCCTATTTTCAATTTTACCAAAAGGTTATGAAGTCTCACATTTCATTTTGCCTATTTCATCAATAACTGAAAACATTTTCCCTAAACATGATCTGGCAAATATGATGTTCATACTGTATCCGAGACACGGTTTAGTTGCCGTTTCCCTCTGAAAGAATACTGTATGGTGTAAGTATCCTATCAACACATCCACCTTAAACAACGTTAAACATCTGATGGGTGGACTGCAGTATGTCATGCACACACATGAAATATGTGTGAAGTGGATCCTGGCACAACTGGGCAGTTCAGTAGATATAAAAAATAAGTAGAATAAGTAGATTAATAAACTTTCATCCCTAATAAAGCCAGTAAAAAATTAATAGATTTCAGACACATTTCAAGTGCTGATCTTATGCATGGCTGTTACAGTGAAAAGCTCCAGTAAAATGTGTATTTTATCAAAAACAGCAACAATATCATGATCATCACTGAACAGATACAGGTATATCAATTTCTTTTCTACTATACCCAATTGCCTGTCCTTTGCCTATCGGACATGTTATATTCCAAACACTGATGCATTTACCCAAAACATATCAGTACATAGTTTCATGTGTTCTTTATGACTCTATTGAGAAAGAGGAAGGTGACTATAGCAGGTCAATACCCCCTTGAAGTTCGGAATGCGGACAATAAATGACTTGTGTCAACATACACCACAGAAGTCTACCATGCATACACAAACCTTGGTACACCATGTCCACCCTTGCCAGTACCTATACTGGATAGTATTCTCCAGATTCTGACAGTTTCTTTATACTGGGTAAAGAATGTTTGTTTAAAGGTATATCATCAACTGAATACTTTAACTACAGTAGAGATCAAATATAGATATTAATATTGATTATCGGCTTCAACACTGAATCCATTATGCTACCAAAGACATCACACAAACACCAGTCGGTTGGAAAATTGGGTGAAAGTATTCAATTAAGATGGGGACAAAGGGACATATCTATTATTATTTAGCCTGGAGATCATTCAGTGGTGGAAATAACCCATTGCCCGACGTCCGAGTCCAGTGTTTTTTTCTGTTGGGCAAGCAAATTTGTATATCACACGGTACCAGTGTCCAGTTGCCTTTCCAATGTTAATTATGTTGTTTATTTAAAAAATCAGCAAGAAAACGGTCGGTATAGTGGAAATATTATCAGAGCAAGTGACTTTACATGTGCCACTGTACCGGAGAACACTATCAATTTTAAAGTTATTTCCACCCGTGCGATAACATTTAACATGAGTGGTCATGGAGTTAAAAAGGATTATGGGCTGATGGGTATAATGAATTTACTCCACTTGCATGTGTAATACTAATTACAAGAAACTTAATCGAGGTGAACAGTTTCAGTTTTATCAGGGCAAAAGTACCTTCACTTCAATTGTTTCAGCAATAGTTCTATTTTTAGATACCCCTAAACCTAAACTCAAGGGTCATTATCATTAACACAAGTTCTGAAAACACCTTGCGAGTATTAGGCCTAAAAAATTTTTTTGTTGTGGTTCGGATTACCCGACCGACCCTTGAATTCTGGTGTCGACCCTACTTTATTTAGGCGGTATGAATAAAATACGCTTTTGGATTCCATTGTGTTTTTCTGGCATAGACAGACATTGGTCATTCTGATAGAAAAATTTACATGATGGCTGCAAACTTGATTGAATAAACAATTACGCATTGATAAATGTGTTATTAGTTTGTACTTTACTTAAAAAATATGTAAAAAAAATCCTTCCTACCTACCCTAAATTTTAAAGAGGTGTAATCGGAACCACAACATGTTTTTTTATTTGGCCTTATATCATACCATGAGAAGTGCATGTTGTGCTTCATATATGGAGATAGTTATACCATGACTAGTGTTATGGTGATTTGGGGAAACAAGTGTCAGAATAGAAGGGTAATCCATGAATTTATGAAAATGTAAGCAGTTCTGGAACTTGAATAATGTTTTCTTTCTTTTTAGAGCTTGAAAAGTATAGAGAATCAGGAAAATGGCCATAAAGAAATTTGCAATACTCATTTAAATGTACTTGTTTCTATCCAATTTGAA